GCCAATGAATGGCCTTGGAAGGCAATCAAACTTTTTTCACTTTCCTTTTCTCTCACTCATACTTGATGATGGTACTTTTCATGCCAGCCAGCTCATTTTTGCGGAGGTTCTAATCCAACGTATTTGACAAAGGGAGAGCCAAACATTATTTATCAAAGGCAAGGCAGCAAGGGAAGCAATGACTTACATATACAATAACTTACTCGTTTCCTAGTTTCCTTCAAACATTAGGCATTCTTTAGTGCATGTATATATGCCTTAATGTACATAGAAATATACATACATACCCGTATATGTATATGTGTATATTATATATTGTTTCAACTCGTCAGATGCTACAGCAATAGCATATTAGCATGTACCTGTCCGATGAGTTTGTGTGAATGGGAATATCGAGTAAAGGGTTATCATCATTACCTCTCCACTATTGTGTACAAATAAAATATGCAACGTGTATAATTATACCTACACGCACTGAACAATTTCGATTTTTCCACGGCACCCCTCAATTGTGTGCAAGAGCATCTATAATAATACCATCATTTAGAGCAATTATAACCTACTTAATAACAACCACCTTTCTTATTTCTTCATAATGTGCAAGAATTATAATATAACCAAAGAGATCATAACAAACAAAACCATTGTTTGAGAACCAACACAAATCCAAATTAGCTCAATTTTAACTCAGTTTTTTCGTCTAATTTTTAGATATTCCATCAAAGCAAAGACTAGATGCCTTCCGGATATTCAATTTTCCTTCTTCTTCTTTTTTGCAAAGATGATTTATGAATGAAGACTTGAAAATTATACTGTTTGGATCGTTAAAAAAATAAATCGTCATGATCTTAAAGGGTGTCCCTCAATAGAAATGGGCTTCTACATAAAAGATTTTGTAGAAGCTATCTAAAACCAGAAAGCTCTGTTACAGTGATATATTATGTATTAGTTTTAGTATGGTGTTCAGCTGAAGCCGAGTATGGGTTGAGCTAAGTGCATGCAAGCCTGCCTAATGAAGTTATATATAGCTCATCGGTCTCTCTTCAAATAACAGTTTAACCTGTTGGGCTGGATATACTTAAAGAAAACTTATGTATTGGTCTATAAGAGCCACCACCAATGAAGTGTAAGTGTGTTACGTACGTTAACAAAGACTTATGCACAATAAAGGAACTAAACAACAAGGGTTCATTTGTGTATGCGTAAGGGGATTGTTGAAATCCCTTGTGAATTTGTTGACTAAAGGTGACCTTTTGGGATGGAAATTGACATGGATAAGAAAGTTGGAAATTTCTTATAAGAAGTAGGTGCATGTATATTTGGAACAGGGATGGAGTATATCTAAGCAAGCATCTGCTTAAAGCTAACCTTTATATATAGTAGCTAGTACTTCAACCTCTAGCTATATGTTATTCAACTTGAATATCAGAATTATGGCCATGTCAAAAACATATGTTAAAGTAGAGCTATATATAATATAAGGTTTGGTTGCATTCTTTGAGAGAGAGAGAGAGAGAATTATGGCCATGTCAAAAACATATGTTAAAGTAGAGCTATATATAATATAAGGTTTGGTTGCATTCTTTGAGAGAGAGAGAGAGAGAATTATGGCCATGTCAAAAACATATGTTAAAGTAGAGCTATATATAATATAAGGTTTGGTTGCATTCTTTGAGAGAGAGAGAGAGAGAATTATGGCCATGTCAAAAACATATGTTAAAGTAGAGCTATATATAATATAAGGTTTGGTTGCATTCTTTGAGAGAGACAGAGAGAGAGAGAGACAGAGAGAGAGAGAGAGAGGGACGGAGAGAGAGAGGAGCCTCTTTTGCAAGTAATTCTCCATGTCCATGTTGTAAGAATATTATATAAATATTCTATGGTCCACATGAAGTGACATATAGTAAATAAATTGTTTAATTGATTTAATAATAATTATATTGATTATAAAAAAAGTAGTTTTTTATTTTATTACTGTGATGAGTGGTAATTGATTACGAGATTCACTAGAAAATTGGTCCTCTCTCTGCCTATAATAGTGTACATACCCATCTTATATGTACACTGATGAAAACACATATTAGGGTTCTCTAATGTGCAAAAGGCTAGAGAGACAAATCTATTTTTTCTACACTGACGGCTCGCCTATGAATCTCTCAAAACATATATCTTGATATAATATAAGACTAATCATTCAAGATATGTATGCAATTGAAGTCTAATTGAATTTCCGCCTAATGCTATTGTGAAGATTACAAAGTTTAAGATCTTGGATCATGAATTGAGTTTTATGAATTTACCCAACATTAAGTTTACACATGTCACATAAAAATTGAGCTGAGAAGGTGAAAATGATGAGAATTGATAATGAAATGAAAAGGCAGCCAATGCCATGCAATGCGCATGAAATGAAAAAAGTGTGTGCTGTGTTGTGTTGGTGGTGGTGTGTGGGGGTGCGTGCAGGTTCACGATAACAGCGTTAGGCCCTCGAAATTCCCGACAAGACAAGGGCCATAAAATTCCACGCTTTTTTTTTCTTTATTTCTCTTTTGCATGGACAGGCGTGGGGCTGTTCCTGTGGGCCCCTCCTCCCTGACTGCGCGTGCAAAGCCGGACTTCGTGGGGGGCTCTCCTGTGGGTCCCTCCTAAACTAATACCCCTCAAATTGTATTGTATTGTATTGTATTGTATTATTATTCTATAGATATATATGTACTCTCTCTCTCTCTCTCTCTCTCTCTCTCTGTGATTTTCCATTTTCTATTACCGCCATCATTTCATTATCTCCTCTTACTAATACTAATCCACATACATTGCCTCTTTGCCTGCAACTACAGTTTTCCAAGATATTATATTATTTAGCCTTAATTAAATAATTAATCCCCTGTTCCCATTTGTTCTCTAATTGCCTCTAGTTGCTGCATTATTTTATAACCAGAGCTATCATGACCATGGAATTTTTAAAGATCCTCTTTTTGGGTTCCTTAAATAAAAAAACAAAGAGAAGACACATGTTGATCTGGATGGATGGGTTGCAATGCATTGTCATGGTTGAGTCACGTGGACGTGTGATTAGTGAAGAAAAGTGTCATACAGTTAGTAATGGGAACATTATTATAGGAAGGAAGAGGAAGAACATTTTTTATTTTTTTAAAAATAGCTTTTTACATGATCGTCTTGTAATTCCACTGCTAAGATCTTGACACAGCACAGGATTCCTCGTCAGTCATCTTTCTTTTATATATTTCTTTAATTAGTCAACTCTCCCAACACAACACAAATAAATATATGTATAATTACGTTAATCTCCTAATATGTTTTACTTATTTCTTCTGTTGTAGTTACAATTTTGGTCCAAGGGATATTCACCAGAAGAAGAAACGTACGTCGTCTCCATAGGGTGATATTGATATGAATGCTGCAAAGCAAAGGACTTTAATTTGGAAATTTTGGTTGGTTTTGTTTTGTTTTGTTTTGCATTGCAGTTTTCAAACACGTACGTACATATGTTTTTGTTTGCGTATGTATATGAACAATATATATATATATATATAAGTGTAGTGTAGTGTAGTGTTGTGTTGTGTTGTGTTGTGTTGGAAGTAGCTAGGTAGCTAGGTAGTAGGTAGCTAGGTAGGTGTACATGTAGAAACCAAAAAAGTGGAACATTGAACAAGAGAGGCTAGCTAGTGATGAGTACTGCACATGTCAATTGTCAAATAAGACAACCTCATCATGTTCAATTACCCTTTTTATATGACACTTATATTAATTTTCTATTTGTTTTGTTTTGTAGGAAAGGTGGCTATTCACACGATATATATATATTATATATATAGGTTAAGCACATTTGCAAATTGCAATGCAAATACTTTACACGCCATGCATACATAATATATGTGTATGTGTGTTTTCTATATATGCATGTCATGTGCCATAGACAGGAGCTTCACCAAACAATTTTGTCCCCCATTTTTCTCAAAGCTTAAACGTTCAAAGCTTGGCTAATGTGAATGGGAACATCAAGGACACAGCCCTGTTGTTTAGAGTGTTGTGTGTGTACACTGTGTCTTCCTCTCCTTTCCTTTGTAACTCTGTCAATGAATTTTAGGTTAATCGAATCGAACCTTGTGAGACCAGACCAGCCCCCAATGTTTTGTAGTGAGATTCCAGCTTCCCAAGCAATCACTGATCAGATGGGCTCGCGTACAACTTCAGAAATGGCCCAAGGATTTAGGGTTTAGGAGATTTTCTATACGAGGGCAGAAGAACAGTGAACAATAAACGTCAAAGTGTTATATCCTAAAATCAATATTTATGGAAATATAGGACATTCTGCACAAAACTCACTCTTCTTAACCAACAAAAATGGGATCCATGTAATTTCATCACTGCCACTTATCATGGCCTCCCATCATTTGGCTACTCAACTCATCTAAACATTTTCATCCCAGAATCAATGTACTTAGATTCAATCTCTACCTAGAGCCAGATCCATTATCCAGGCTCCTCAAAGGAAAAGTTTTCATGTTGTTACCACTTACAAGTTACAGCCTGCATTCAATTCTAAAAAGAAAATAATTGACCTATGACTACGTAATGAAACAGGGCTTGAGCATGACAAAAGTTAGGGGCTAGATGATCAAAATTGAGTATAATTAATAAAGGATACATATCCATTGCTTGATACAAAGACCATCATTGGCCACCATTTCAATGATGCTAAAACAAGTTTGAATTTAGACCTGTACAACTAGCTGTTACAGTTTCAAGATTTGTATGTGTGTACTTCAAAGGGCTCTAAAATCTAGCATGTAAATATTCTCATACAAGTTCCAAATAGTTTCACCGATCTCTTCTAATAATCACCATTGGCAAGATAAGATTCTGACAAGCTTGTGTGACTTGGAAGTATATTCAAGACCTCTAAATTCCAGAAAGCTTAACAAAAGCAACACTCTAACCTGATAAAAAAATTGACGTAAGCAATCTCCTGAAACTTACTATTTAGCCTTCCGTAAGTCACCTTCCCCACCAACATTCTCAGAATCAGACTGGTCTTGAATAGGAGGAGTCTCGCTGTCAAACAGAGGCACCTTAATATTCTCTTGCTTTGACAACAGAACACACTGTGTAACGCTTACAAACTGGTGCTGATGTATCAAGCTCCACATCTTCTCTCACTTTTAGTTACACATCTAAGTCAAGCACAAAACAAGTTCCACCAATAGTTAGCATCCGCAACATGAACATGAAAGCACAGACTAAGAATGTCAATAGTAATGATGCAGACATATAATTCTGGAAAAGAAGATGAATTGTAGAAACAGCTTCTGCTTGGAGTTAGAGGTGTGAGAAAATGGCCCGCCAGTTAAAAATTCTCATTAAAAATTGTTTCCATTACACAAATGGTTTCTCTTGCTACAGGAAGGACACAAGTTAAAAAAATATGCAAGTTCATAGCTAACTTAAAAAATATGCAAGTTCATAGCTAACTAGCTTGTAACTTTATAAAAATTTCCATGTAACATAATGAGTTTCCTGAAGAATTTTGAATTGACATATTAATTAAACAAAACTGAGATTCTTCAGAGCAATGAAAAGTAGAAAAATATTAACCTTAGACATTAGTTTGTTCTTGCTGATCTCAAAAGCAAGTTGAGTCAATGACAAGTGCTCATACTTTACGAATGACAATTTCCTTATAAACACACATGGCCAACAAATATTTAGATTATAACTTGACATGTATGCTACAACACATAACTGATTCATTCTAGGAAATGATTGACATTAAATCTCTTTCAAAGTGGGTGATAAAAATGTTATCGAATGTTCAACCTTTACCGCACCATCAGGAGGTAGATATAAATCGTAATAAGTCTAAGTGGAACACAATGAGAATGAAGTCAAATAGTAATTCAACAAGATTTGGAATAACTAAAAATATTTCTAGTGATAGTGGGTTTTATAGTTGGATTGTCAATTCTCTTTTGAACCAAAGCCTTACCAATAAATTAGATTCGTTTTCCGTAAGATGAGCTGTTGCTTTCTCAGAGATAAATTCCCTCAAATGGAATGCAATTAGTTACAGAAAATTATAGATAAATTTTCTTCTGGGGAAACACAAAAGATAAGTGCTTCATAAAGTGATTCTGAGCAAATGAAAATATGCAGCTAAAACACATGATACATGGGTGAGGTTTGTAAGCACAAAAAACCTTTCTCAGCACCAATTCTCAATAAAAAAATATCATCAGTTGATTTCACAGTAAATTCATGTTATACCAGGCTTAGTATAGTGTTATGTAATTATTGAAGTGATCATAGTAGTTTAGAGTGAGTAGTTGGTAATGCCTCGTCTATTGTCACAAAAGATTTTCCTAAGGGCTAGAAATTTCGACCCTAGCCTAAAATATCACTTCAGTAATTTGTGAAGAAAGGCGAAAAAGCCTTTGATTCCTGGTGATCTCAACAAGGAGTGTATAAAAGTATATAATTACCTAATCCATCATGAATTTTCTCAATCCACTACCACCTAAAACGATATCTACAAGATGAGACTCATAAGTCAAAAAGTCATGATTCATAATCGCAATTAAGATGATTCAAAAGTTGAAGTGGCAATATGGAATTTTTTTCAGTGTGATATGATGTCTAATGTCACAAATGACTAACAAGTTTGATATGACACGCAATTTATAGTAGATAATTGATGGATATCGCATATCGCGGAATCTATGATTATCAACGCTCAGACTAAAAAGAGAAAATGACGCATTCTTTTGTATCAAGTCAATGCATTCACAATTTGATCATGCTTGCACATACTTCAATTGAAAGGAAAACCATTAAAATATTAGTAATCTTTGACCCTTATACTTGAATATGGATTAAGGTCATGAATATGCCAACATACATATATAATTAGGCAAAATACCATGTACACATGGGTGCATGAACACAGACATTCATAAATGTAACATATCAACAACTTGATAGAAAAATAAAATTTTGTTATTTTGTACAAACCAAATAAGCACACTTTTCTAAAAGGGAAAAAAGTTGGATAAAAAATAAGAAATATAAGGATCAAGGTCACATTTCCTTCCTAAACTGACTGTGACGCCCAAATAGATAGGGATAAATTGATGTACAATTTACATTATCTTTATAATCTTTATAGTGACAACGACAACGCATGCAGACAAATACCTGTAATGAGGTGGTGTAAAACTTCCACGATGAGTATTAAGTTAATATCATGATTGTAGATTAGTACTGGACAAAATCATTACATGAAATGTCATACTCTTATTTCACGTTGGTCATAATTGGTAGGCCAAATTATACTGAAATTGAAAATTATGTTCTTTTTGTTCGTAGTTCTGAAATTAGACAATGAAATATATAAATTAAATAAAAAGAATACAATGGGAGCAAGGAAGTTGTCTTAGTCAAAGCAAGAACGGTGAAAAAGGAAAAAAATTTCCAAAGTATCAATAAGAAATCATTTAGCAAGTTCAGTAGAAGTGGCAGCTCACATTTGGACAATTGGATCCAGAAGTCTTTATTTAAGGAAATTCTGGGAACCGCAAATGAGAAAAGGAGGTGCAAACTTTATAATGGTTATCACAAAGGCCAGACTAGATATTCTATACTAAAAGGCCAATGTATTTCGAGAGAAATGATTAATCAATGAGTAATGCCTTCATGCGGACTTATGCACTCTGCACAACGAGAACTTCATGACCTAGAATTACTTGAAGAACAAAAAAAAAGAGACATAAAAAAAGTGGGCAACACCTATGTGCACAAATTCATGCCAGAATGCAACTAGTAGAAGGTTTTAATAGTCAGTTTCGAACCATTAAGAACTGTAAAGAAAATCATTAGCTAGACCCAAGAAAGTGAAAGTAATTGCTCACATAATTGGTCATCGATAAGGAATTACCTGGGATGGAGCGCATTACCTTGAGAACAAGGTGACTTCATCAGTTCAACCCTCCAGGAATCATAGATCCCAATAAGGCAGATCAATCACCAGTAATCACCACAAGAGCAAATTCCATCCTGAAAGTGATGGAACCGATTGATATCTCGAACAACAATATCTCGCTGCACTACTTTTGATATTAACTTCACTGTGGCATGGCAATCCACACATATTCGAAGGTTTTTAATGATACGAATAGGGCTCCCAGGTGATGTTCTAATTAACCCAAACGCTAGAGCTAACCTTTCACTGTGTACCCACAAGAAGCGCTCCTTTTCATCATCCTCCACATCAAGCAAAACGGCACTATAATTGGGAACATGTCCTGCCTTCAAAGTTCTCATTTTCAACCATTCCAGCATCCCGTTGATCAGTTTCATGTCAGGATGTGAAGTATCCCCCACACTGAAATAATGAACTGTGCCCTGGTTCTCAATCCAACTTAGGCCGGGTTCTTTCTTTACTCCTTTGCTTTTCATGTTTTTTCTGACAGAAGCCACATTATCCCATCTCCTTGCAGTGGCATATATGTTTGACAATAACACGTGGGTAGCATCATCTTGGGGATCCATTTCAAGAACATGCTGGGCAGCAATCCTTCCAAGTTCCACATCATTATGGATAACACAAGCTCCGAGCAAAGCACGCCATACCATAACACTAGGTTCAAATGGGATTTCCTGAATCAACTTCACAGCCTTATCAAGATGGCCTGATCTCCCTAACAGCCAGACCATACAAGTATAGTGCTCTATGCACGGTTCAACGTCATAGTTCTGCACCATAGAATTAAAATAAGCCTGTCCTTGATCTAATAGTCCTGCATTGCTACATGCTGACAAAATACCGACAAAAGTTAACTTGTTTGGTTTGCAATTTGTTTCCTGCATCATTTCAAAAATCTTTAGAGCCTCCAGGCCAAGACCATGCATAGAATATCCTGAGATCATCGCATTCCATGAAACCTCATCTCGTTGCTTCAACTTATCAAACACCAAGCGGGCGTCTTTGATGCTTCCACACTTAGCATACATGTCTATTAAAGAATTACCCACTACAGTATCTTTGTCGTATATGGTTTTGACCGTTATAGAATGTATCTGAACTCCTGGCTCCAATGCTGCTAGGCTAGCAGAAGCACGGAGAGCACTAGAGTACGTCACTTCTGTAGCCTGCACTTGGCATCTAAGCATATTTGAAAACAAAGCCAACGCCTTCTCCCCATCACCTAACTGAACATATCCAACAATCATCGTGTTCCAAGATACATCATTTCTATTTGGTGATTCCACAAATAAGTCCATAGAGTTCTCTAACTTTCCACATTTAGCATAGACACCCATGAGAGCATTTGAAACAAAGACATCTGAATCAAGACCAAGCTTGATTACATGGCAATGGATTTGCTTCCCAAAATCTAAATGCTCCATAGTTGCACAAGCTTGAAGTGTGCTAGCATATGTAAACTGGTTGGGAACAACAAATGCTTGCCTCATCCGATAAAACAAGTCCAGAGCCTCTTCACAACGGTCACTCTGAGCACACCGTGAAACCATGAGGCTCCAAGGAACCACATCATTTTTGGGCATCTCTTGAAATACTTGCCGAGCCTCCTCAACATCTCCAAACTTGGTGTACATATCAAGCAATGCAGTACCCACATATAGATCCCCTTCATAACAAGATTTCATTACACACCCATGGACACTCTTCCCTTCATTTAAGGCCTCTAAACCAACACAGGCCTTAAGCACACCCGTAAAAGTATAATTGTTAGGCTTGAATCCAATCATCCGCATTTGACTGAAGAGTTCGAGTGCTTCTTCAAAACAGCCATTCTCAGCATAGCATGCTACCATTCCAGTCCAAGCTACCATATCCTTACAAACAATCTCATCAAAAACATCCCTAGAAACATCAACGTGGCTGCAAACAGAGTAGGTATCAATGAGAGCAGTCCCAACAAAGGCATTAGAGCCATGTGCAAGCTTATGAATACAAGCATGGATGGTCCAAGCCAGCTCAGCCCATCCCATCCTCACAAGTAACTTCAAAATTGTAGTAAAAACAAATTGGTTAAGCTCATGGCCTTCTGTATGCAGCCGGTGAAACAACTCTACAGCATCAACAAAACGTTGAGAGTCCACAAATCCCTGGATCAACGTAACAAAAGAAATAGTATTTCTTTCAGACATTTCGTCAAACAGCGTAGTGGCATTAGACAGCATACCCGCTTTCACGTACATATTAAGAAGAATGTTGAGAGCAAACAAGTCCAAACAACCACCTTTCTTCAAGATCCCGCAGTGAAGACCCATTGCGGAATTCGAGTCACCGTTTCGGATACAATGTTGAAGCATAGCAGCGTATGCGTGAGAGTCGAACTCCGAGTTGGGAAGCTCTGCGTGGACAGGGGGATGTTGGGGCAATGGGGCAGCTGCTGCTGCTTGGGCAGCGTACCCACATCGCGAAAAGCTAATCCGGGCGTTGGTTTTACAATGCGTAGCGAAATTTGCACACTGAAACGTTCTTTGACAAATCAATCTAAGCATGCCCGCGTAAATTTCTTTTTGAAAAAACAAGTAATTTGTGTAAACCTTGACTTCCTATAAGAAACTGCACCCTTCGGCCCACCACACAGACACGCGTCGAGAGAGACCAAATATGTTGCAGTGGGAAGGCTCACCTTTGCCAGGGATAACACTGTTTTAGTATCCTATTAATAGTATTATGTCAAGTGAAAGTATTATCATATGTGTAATAGCGTTATTGGCCAAGATAACAAAATAATGTTATACTCGTTTCACAGAAGTTCAAACCACTATGTCAAATTCAAAGCGTGACCTCTAATTTTTAATTTATATATATAATTTTTTTTTTACAAGTATATTTTTGTTTTCTTACTGGTAGCTTATATTGTTTAATATAATAAAGCCTTTTATTTTTTGTCGAAGTTTGAAACCGAGCTATGGACCCATTGGCAATATATTGCCTATTAGTTACTTGAAAACCGCCTAGCTCAGTTTTGTGATTATAGACTTTGGAAGGACTGCTAACATGTGTGGAAATAATCCAGTTAGATTTACTTATGTTGTTCAAATTGAAATTGAAGCTTTTTTTATTTTTTTATATTATATATATATATATAATGGTATTGCATTCAACCCAAAGAGAATATTACATGGATTATTGTGAGTAACACCCTCAAATTATACAAAGTTAATAATTGAAAAAGATTCCAAGGCTTTTGATTGGTCTTTTAAATTCTGGTAATGACTCCTTAGCAAATTTTTTCCATCAAAATTTGTTCTTTTAGTTCATGGCATTCCCCATCGTCATGTTCCTGTGAAACATCCCCAAACCTTTCATTCCTTACAATATAGAGCAATACGAACGGTTGGTTTGCATTTACTACTGTACATTGGCACTTCATGGGGTGTAGTTGTGGTAACATGAACTCCTGTATAAAAGGTCTGGTATCACATGAATTTCCTCAGTGTTGAAACCCATAAAACAGAACCAAATTCCTCGGAACAAGAAGCGCCCATTACGAAAACTGAATTTAAAAGATCGACCAAAAAGCACTAAAACAACCTTAAATCTTCAAATCCTTCCTAAATCCGTCAGATGAAACAGACTGCCTTCAGAAGTACCAAATGTTCTACTCAAAAAATACTCGCAGCACAAACTACATGAAACATAATTAACTGGAATTACTACTACAAGACGACTATGCTCGGATGCACCAATGCATAACATCGTATGACTCATAACTAAAGTGTACAAAATCCAGTTCTCTGTCTCACCAAACTCTTCATAAAACTCGAAAGGGCTTAAAATTGTCAACCAAACGCAAATGGCGCACACAGTATCCATTCAGAGTCAAGTTAAGAGTAGCTGATACTTAGCACCAAACAGAGAAACCTAAAATGAACTAACCAACGAGCTATAGCCCTAAATGAGCAGAGGTACGGAGCACACGGTTACTCATCCCGGCTAAATGAAACAGCGTGCAACAGAGGATTTGAGAAGACATCGATTGAAAAGCTTTAGCATTTCAACACCCCATAAAGTAATGGAACAACAAAGAATATAGCTATGAAACATTTTCATGCAAAAGAACTTGTTCATCGATAACCTGTCATTTAATCTGAAAAGGGCAGACATGAAAATTTCAAACAATACTTCATCCGAAGGGCAATTGAAAATGTAAACCACCAAACATAACTAAACCAGATGCATAACATAGCACTCCCATGACAAGGTCCAGAACGCCGCCCCTAACAAATTACATATTAAAAACTAAAAAGCAAAACAAAAATGAGGAGCACCCACATTTTAACCTTAATCAACCCTCAAAAAGCCCTTTCTCAATTCTCCAAATACACATCAATGCAATCAAAGCTTGAGCATCAGTCTCCCTTCCTTCTGAAAGAGCAACCCTCGGTGAGCCTGGCACGCCCACCAGTAGGCTGGCACAACACTGTCTGGCAGTTCCCACAAACCACAACAGTTTGCGAGTGACTGAACACGGTGGTTCTGCACAAATGAATTTTAATTTGGTTCAATCTCCAGACAATGAATAAATTTCCTTTTTTCATAAATTTAAATCATATGCAGCAACTACTTGAACATAATAATCAGAAAAGGTAATGGAAGATGGGAAGAATTACTTACATGTTGAAGCATCCTTGGCACTTAACGTCCTGTGCATATTTAAAACAATCAAGATTAGAAATTTCTCTAGAAAATCAGAACCAAACAAAAAGAAACAAATGTCCCAAAATGGCATATTGCATCGAATAATTAATAGTAGTACCATGAAAAAAGAGTTAGGAGACTGCACAAGACGCTTGAGCTTGTGTTTCCTCTTCTCGAGCTCAGCTGGTGGATGCAGCAAATCGATATCGTTCTGGAGCACCTGTTAGCAACCAGCAGTTTAATATCTACACACGAAATAATTGCTCAAAAAAAAAAAAAAAAAAAAAAAAAAAAAAAAAAAAAAAAAAAAGAATATATTTTTTAGTTTGATATGCACAGAATGAATCAATTAAAAGTGCGTTTCATTTTCATCTTATGGGATCATATCTAGATTCAAAGCCATGTTTTCAATACACCCAGGAAACGAAAACAAACAAAAGATGTTATTTAGCGTAGCGGATTTTCACAAATGGCGTTAAATCTGTGAGCCTAATGAAGAAGATGGTTCAGATCGTAACAAAGGTCTAAGAAAATACAAATACAAGATAGTTCTGCTGGGCTTACCATCTTGGTTGTTGTAGATCGCAGAAACCAAAAACAGAGCCGCAAGAACCTCTGGGGAGATAGAGAGAGGAGAGCGACTGAGAAGGGGATTAGGGTTTATAGGGCTATGAATATAAACGAATGTGCCAAAAATGTAGGCCGTCGGATCCACACAAACTTAGATCTGCGCATTTACCGCCATATGGGGCATTATCGTCCTTTCAGTCCTATTTATAATATTTCGTGATTGGCCCCTGCAATATCATATTTCCAATCTGACCGAAAGACTATACTGGAGGAAACGGCGTCGCGTTGGAGGTGGAGTTGTTGGCGATTAGGGTTTCGGGGGTTTTCTTTAGTTCCTCACACTCTTTATATAAAGGGTGTTGCGGATGCTTCTGTATTGGCCTCGTCTTCCGGCGGCTGTTCCACAATTCTTCGTTATTGTTTCGTTGATGGTACTTGCCCTGCGTTTGTTCTGTCTAATTTTTCTTTCTACTCTGCAACGTGTTTTGTTATTCTATGCTTGTGTTATCTGAAGGCAAAGTTAATAGAGGATGAGAGCATATGATGAGAAAAATTTGGAATTGACGACTGATTGGCGAAAGCCATGAAGCTTCCAAAATTCGAGCTTTTTAAAACTGATGCTCATAATCTCCTCTTCCCCCCTCTCTCTCTCTCTCTCTCTCTCTCTCTCTCATTATTAAATGGAGATTTTACAGTTCCTTTTTTCGTAAGGATTAGATTGGTTCTGCAGATTGTGTTTGATTGGTCCTTGAGACATTGCCTATGAGAGATCCGAGCGAACCTTGTTTGATGGCGCTTGAGTTCCGTTGCGGGCATACAGAAAACTCAAAAGTGATTCCATTCTTTTTGTGGGAAGATGTTTTGTTTTCTCTTCTTACGTCGAAGAAAGGGTGTTGCACAGATTGTCAATTTAAAGTTTTTGGTTTTTGCAAGTGAATTCTCGGCCGTTTCAAATGTGCTTTTGCGTTTTAATGCGAGGGCACAATTTCACCCGGCCAATATATGATTTATAGGGGCAGTTTCAAGGTTTTGCATGTTCTCCGTCATGTTTCAATTCAGGTTACTGCCCTAAATTTGTAGCCATTGTTACCCTTAAAACGTCTAGAATTATAAGCAATGTTTAGATCATGAATATAATTTGACTTCTCAAACTGAAAATTCCCTTCAATGGTAAGGCACCCATTCCTTTGGAATATAATCAGAAGAGTTATCTAAAACTCTTTCATCATCAGTCTCAAGTAACTCAAGTAGGATTGAAATAATGGTAATCCATTTTGTATAATCCAAATTAACTTGTTCCGCTTTTCACTATATGGATCCTTACTTTTTATGTTATCACGTGATGATCTGAATATGATCATGTGGTTAATATGAAAGTTCACATATATAGATGACTCGGGAATGAAGAGAGATGATAAGAGGAAGACTCTTCTTTTTCTGAGTAAAATGAATGGGCTCTTCGGTCATGGGCTTTCAAATAAGGTTTGGGCTAGGGTTAGTTGCTTCAGTCAACAAACAAAGAGAATGAAGTAGCAGATGTTGTTCAGCTTGGGCCCATGAACATTGAGCTTCTCTGGTATTAAAAATATCAGCAAGTTGCCTATACTGGGCCAGCCATTATAACCCTTGCTACATACAGCTTGTCTACAAGTGGTTTGGAAAAAGGAGGTCCAATTCAGACAGCATGGTGAAGTTGAATAAGTCAAATCTTTGCACGTTTATATTTTGGATTTGGAAGATATGGCAAAGGGTACATACTTAAAGCCAATCTGCTAACTAGGCCTGAGCACAGATCAGAGAACAGTAAAAGGCTTTTCTGTTAACCAAACCAAAGACTTCGATAACCTTCAAATTGGTTAACCTAATATTCAGTTCGGATTGGCCAGTCCACTGGTAATACCGTAATAAAAACATATTAATAAAAATACAATTTATAATACTTTCACATAACATAAATTCTTGAACAAATACACCAAATTATCCTTATAAAATATAAAAATCCAATAGTCTAATTCATCTAAGTATGAAATCAAATAACTTAGTCACTATATCATTCAGTATGTACTCAAGATGTACTAGGAGCCACTTGTGTTTGTTGTTTGAACCTTTGAGTGTTCTTTTTATTGAATTCTCTACATTTATGTAAATGATTTTGACATTTGTTCCGCATTGGGTTCTTTAGTTTTTCATGGTGAATCCAACCATATAAAGAACATAAAATAAAATTTGGATCAACAGTTGGAAAGTTAAAAAAACAGGGCAAATATCAAAACTGGAAAACATAGGAAGTTCATAAATTCCTCTCTGACCAAAAAATGCTAAAGTATCGGAGTAAGTGATACAATGATGATAAAGAAGTGATAGAGTGGTGATAAAGCAGTGATAAAATGGTGATAAAGTAGTGATACAATGGTGAGAAAGAAGTGATACAGTAGTGATAAAGGAGTGATACAAAATGCTGATTGTATTTACCTTTGGTTTCTTATTTGTATTTAAATAATAAAGTAAGTATAAATATCGGATCGGTATGGATGTTTGTCGGGTTAGGAATTTTGTTTCCGTTAACCAAACCAAACATTTCGGTACGGATCAGATCAGAATAATTAAAATTAAAAAATAATTATTTAACCAAACCAAACTGTCGGTACGCGAATAATTCGAATGAGATGCCCGCCCTTACTACTAACTATAGATACGCAGCCTCCCTCACTAATGTTAAACCAGCCTACCATCATCACCCCATACATTAATTCAACAAAGGCATACCAGATTTGGACCTGACTTTCCGATCTGTTCCTTGAGGAGAGGTTTGGCACGGATGCTATCTACTAATTCAATTTGTCTTTGACCACTTAGATTTTTATTTTCTTGGTTCGTTGCCCAACATAATTTGAGGGCGGCATATATTATAGGGTCTAAAGTAAATAACATTTTGGTGGGTGTAGTAGTATTCCTATCCTTTACCAACTCTTAACCTAACCACTCACTAGTTAAAGTTTATAAAGTGAATGCATGTCTCAACAAGAAGAGCTAAACCAAAATTCAAAATCTTTCAATTCGAGTGCAGAAAATAAATAATCAGCTTCTTTGTATTGAAAATTCGTGCATTATAAAATTTTTAAAAAAATGGTCATCTAATCTAAGTCGGTTATGATTTTTTTTTATAAAAAAAAATACAAATAGTAGTCTGAACTATTTTAAATTAGGAGTTTGTAGCTCAAGTGGTTCGTTGAGAAATGGGGATTCAAATTTGGGTGCAAGGTGTTGGGCTCACTGAGTCACTAACCAACTGGCCTAACTTACATATGTCAGCAACTATGTTTTCAATCCACATAAAAAACACACACGTTTCCAAATTTCAATTTAGATAGGCCATTAAAGTACAAACAAGACGAATTCAAATTGATTCCAAAGGAGACCAAAATAGGTAGCAAAGCCAAAACACATGATTCCACGAAATTCAATATTAATATAAAATATATCAAACTGGGTTTGCAAATAGAAGGTTTGAACATTTCCAACAGACTCTTTATCCTCTTATCCCTAGCTACTTTGGCTAAAAAGAAGGAAAATCTTCCTCTAGCAGACTCCCTACTTAGCTCTCTATTTTGGAGAACCAACTTTTGGCTCTTTACATCTAGGAGATAGAGACACTTGGGAGGTTGGTGGGGTTTTTTTTTTTTTTTTTTTTTTTTTTTTAATTGGAGAAAGAGGGAGAAAGAGAAAGAGAAAATACTAATAAAATATTTCAGATTAGCCAAAATAGAGAACATTGATGGAGGAAACATCTTTTAAGTGGTTTGCTGTAATAGTTTTCTAGTTATTTTAGCCATAATTTGGCTAAAATTTGGAGACTCCCTTGGAGATGCTCTAGAGTATACAACATGTGACTAATAATACTAATAAAATAACCTTAGAATTACAAATAAAAGAAGGGATGGTCTCAAGTTCACATTGGAAGAGCACATGAAATGAAAGTGTGAGGAAGGAGACAAACGAATAATAATAGGTAGCTGCTAGGTGGGTAGGGTTTGCCCCAACAGGAGTCAAGGCCCCTGAGTAAAACGTGAATGACCAAATCTACTTGAGAAAAAAGGAGTATTGGGATATAAGCAGGAGAAGTGCTTTTGAGAAGGAAACCAACATAACAACTACTATATTGTCGGTCTTATCTTTATCTTCTCAGCCTAGTACTAATTAAGTGTTTCTAAAAAGGACTTTGGAATGAGTCTTCTTTCTTCTGCTGCCTTGCCTTGTGGTTGTGAACTTGTGGTCGTCAAAACGCGTATATTACAATATAAAGCAAGCTTCTTAGGCATGGGAGGGAAATGGGGACACCGAATTCAACCTGTGTTCATATCAAAAAAGAAAAAAACGCGTTGTTATTTTTCTGATCAGGGTCAGGCTTAACTTCATTAATTATAATGCATAAAATTCATGGGAAAAAAAAAATCTGGAGTTTTTATGCAGTTCACCAAAAGAAAGAAAAAATAAATTTATGCAGGATAAAAATATATGAAGCAAGAAATTGGTTTTGTGGGTTACCTTTCTTTGCGCTTCTCTAGGAACCTCTGCAGTGACTTTCTGCGGGCAATTGGTAAATCTGCAAAAGTAATTAAAATTAAATATAAGAACACTTAAAAAATTTCAATTAACAAAATTCTGTCTAATTTTTTGCAAAGATGATTTATGAATGTAGACTTAAAAAATAAATAGTTTGGATCGTTGAAAAAAAAATTCTTAAGAGACCCTAAAATGTGTCCAATTTGAAGGATTCCTCAATAGAAGGGATATATATATATTTCATGATGAGAAAAATTGCTTCTTTATTTCGTATTAAGGTTTATCTTGGATTTTTAATAGCAAAGTTTGTAGTTAACAAAGGCAAAGTGAGAATGGGTTATTATTATTTACCAAGGGTTTAGCGTTTAAACGAAGTTTCCTCTCCAAGACTATACACAATAATCCAAATTAATACGAGTATCAGAGTTGAAGGAAAATAAGCAGAAAATAGTCGAGCATTTAGGAAAACTGAAAATAAAAAGGCAGTCAACTGACCTCCGTCAAGAGGATCCAGAAGCTGTTGCTGGTCGCTTGAGTGAGGAGCAAGTTTTGAATCCACAGCTAACGCTGATTCCGCAGCTTTGGCCGAGTTTCCTTCCAAGGCAAGCTTCAATAGGCTCTCAGCCTAAACAATTCAAAGCATTTGTCTCTCAACGGTTAACAATTGAACAAAAACCAAATACTCTCAACTTTTCTTTGAACACATACGTATGATGACTATAAATCTTAAAAAGAAGAGAACAAACCTTGTCGCGAGGGACATCGAAAACAGAGACGGTTCCGTTGTAGAAAATCGTCAGAGGCGTTGTTGTTTCTTCAAGCTTTTCTGAAGCAGCAGCAGGAGCAGGCATGAAAGAAGAGACAGAGGTGCCGGTGGGAATGTAAACAGGCAAAGAGGGAAATGGGATTTTCTCTGCTTTGGGGCTGGACGGCACGGAGAAGGATTTCCTTGAAGCCATTGGAGTTTCAGAGCCGTGGGGGGTGGTGGTTGAGAAGGACTGAACCAGACGCAATCACAGATTTGAGAACCTGAGGCTTGATCTTGGACATGGCATTCTGAATGCCCCTGAAGCTTCTCTGGCGATGAAGGAACTTCTGGAACTGGGATTTGGAGGCGGAGGAAGGGTCACGATGCTGATCCATGCCGAAGAAATCGAGCTCAACCGTTGCCCTGGACATGCTCACAAACTGTTTGCTAAAGTGCTTGTTTGGGGGAATGTTGGAGAAGTTGGAGGAGCGACTTAAATGACAAGGCGGGAGTGGGTTTTTCTCTAAATAGGAAGGGGAGGGAGAGGAGGGTCTTAAAAGAGGCACGAGATTCATGTTAAGGAAGCTGAGAAAGAGACAGGCAGACAGAGAGGACTGTTTTTGAGTGCTTTAATGTGCACACGTCTTCCACGAGGTACAATCAGAAAAAAGAGAGAGGAAGAAGCTGGTCCAACTAATACACTCTTAACCCAAAAATTAAAACATAATAAAAATTAGATTTTTTCTATTTAAACCCCACACTTCTCTTAGTTCACCCCAATACTTAAATCATTAAGCTGTAAATTTTATTATTGTGTAAAAAGACAAAAAAAGTTATCCAACTTAATACTTAATCCTAATATATCTATACACACACCCCACACACCCCACAACTCTTCAAATTAAGTTTAAAAAAAATACAAACTCTTCTACATCCTATGCCAGATTAATTTTCTCTTTTAAAGACGTAGAACATTGACTAGCCTACCTCTTTGAAATCTGCGCGGAAGTTGATGGAAAGACTTGTTGATTGTTTCGCTATAATGATCTTATTCTCTTCCCTTCGTTTGTTTTTTTTTTTTTTTTTTTTTTTTTTTTTTTTTTTTGGCTATTGGTATTGCTTGATTGTTTTGATTTTTGATTTAAATTTATACCTGATGTTTTGGTAAAATTGTTCTCTTTCTCTAGAAAGTATGGGGTAACTTGAATTTTTGTACAACGCTTGTGCACCTCATTCTTAGATACCAGCAGTTCCAAAGATAAACTCTTTAGCAGTAAGCACTGTTGGAAAAACTGCAAATCTTTGGAGATGCTTTTAGAAAAAATTCAAAGAAATTGGGAGGCACACCGTAGTTGGAGTTCTTAGAGGAGTCATGCTGTCTTTTGATGTCTTGGAAGAACTAGCACCAACTCTTGAATTTTCAATCTTCCTGATGACTGTTGATTCACGACCACTCTTCGACCCCCTTTTCCTCTTCCTTTTCTACTTGTTCATTGACAACCACTACAGAGGTTGGAATCAATGCACTGCAAAACTCAAGGAATAATAGGAAGCAACAACAATTTATATCAGTTTGAAACTTGAAGGGGTTTAAATAGAAAATCTCTTTTATTTCTTATTTTTTCAGTTTGGGGTGTATTTAAGGGTACTTTGGGAAGATAGTGGGGTTTACTTAGAAATTGTGAAAATTTAAATTAAAAGTTGGGGTGAACTTAGAACATGGGGTGAACTAAGAGAAGTGTGGGGTTTAAATAGAAAACCTCTAAAAATTATTGTAAGGCTCCACTTGACAATTGTTTGGTGGTGTGTAGGTCTTAATCCCTGTGTGTGTGTACCCAATAGCCTCTCAATGAATTGACACGTGTGATATGGGTTCAACTTTTGTTTGGCCTCGTAGTTTTTGAGACTTGCCGGAGTAAAACCTCGTGGTCTTTGCTTTTCTAGATGCCTTTCGATTTCCGCAATATGAGATGACTATTCCAATTTCCGAACCCCCCTTTTTTTTTCATTCGTTTTTTTTCTTTTCAATGCTTTTGAATGTTCTCTTGCTTTTACTTTTCTTGCTTTGAATTTTTAATCATTATTAATTTTTAAAATTCAGTGGTCAAATTTTGTCACATTTTTATGTTTTGTAGGGATGCTTGCTTAGGCAAGAAGACGGTATCGAGTGTGTTACATGGTTTGTCAATGGCTGTCCAAATATAAATTATGAAATGTTTGAACATATAAGTACCTTACGGCGGGGGGCAAAAATTAGGTGAGCCAATTTGTTTTTTTTACTTGAACTTGTTTCTCTTTTAAGCTCATTGATGTAATTGGTCCCTTTGTCATGTTGTAATCTTTGTAATCATTTAAGCTTATCTAGTAATAGCCTTGATTATTGGATTTATGATTAGATTCATGTGCACATATAATTGGGGTGCAAAGGCACATGACTATTTGGTGAAGATCATAAAATGCTTGGCATTCAATACTACTTGACCATTTTGGTACGTTTTTACCAAAAAAACATGGATCTACTCAATGCAACCCATTTCCTACTCTTTCTTTATTGGTGCAACTGCAATGCAATTGTTGTTCATGTCAAGGCTATACGCATTATAATTGGAGCATCTGCATTTGTGTTCTATCATATCAAGTTTAATTTGGTTCATGTGTTATCTTATTTATAATATGGACAACGTGAAGTTTGTTTTGTTTGAAGAAAGTTGAGATTCCACCTCAAAACCAATTGGTAATTGAGGGAGTAGCCCAACTCTTTATAAACTCAGGCTTGATCCCTTAACTTTTCAATGTGGGACAAATACTCTCAACAACTCTTACATGCTTCCTTATCCATTCATTTCATATATGGAAAAAACATGTACCATATAACCACACCCATTAAACAACTTAAAACACTGTTTTTTTTTTTCAAGAAAAAAAAATGATGCTTTTTAAATTTGGAGTGGTAAAATTCCACTTATATGTGGATTAGCTAGTATGCTTGATTTTTTTATCCAGACACAATTTTTAAATTTTTTTTTTTAAATTTATCAAGTGGAAAAGGCATTGACTTGGAAGGGTTTCAAGTTCGAACCATATAACATCTTGATAATATGTGTGAGAAACTCCTTATGGTTTAGACTATCGCCGGGATAGCCCCATAAAGCGGTTGCCCAATGAGCCCCAAATTTTAAGTATTCTATCAATTATATTTTCGGTAATTTGGATATTTGTTTGGATAGTATGGGTAATATCGATTATCTGTTCTATCACATTTTGTTTGGTGCTCTTTTTATTGTCTTGATTTGTCTAAAGTGTGATATAAACAGATTTTTAGGATCCTTGAATCTCATTATTGGCCCCACTAATCTTGAAAGATTGAATAAACTATAGTAGAAGAAAGAAATTTTTGATCTGCTGAATCCATTTTGCCTGCCTGACTGCCTGCCTGCCTGCCTGATAGATCGGTATCATGATGAAAATGGCAGGAAATTTCAGTACCAAACAAGAAAGAGAAATTGGAAGGCAATTTTCAAGCAAAGTTGGCGAAAACCAATGGATTTGTACATGTTGGGGAAATGGGGGGTAGGAAGGAATTATGATTTTATTTATTTATTTATTTATGTGCGCAGTGCGCAGTGGGCAGTGGGCAGTAACGTGAAAGGAAAGCCAAAACGAACAAGATCAATAATCACGTGAATAAAATCCCCGACATTGCCATGTAGCCACGTGTTAATTCTGTATTGGAAGCCACTCACGAGAAATACTAGAGTGTGACGGCAAAAGTCGTCGGCTTTGTCGTCCACACCGTTCCTTCCTACTAATCCCTACCTCCATAGATTGAGAATTTTCGTTGTGACTTGAGAGAGATTCCCCAAAGCAACAGCTTATAAAATAAAATAATAAAAGGGATACGTTTTCTAATTAATTAATAATTAAGCAACATTTGAACAACGTGACTGACAGGTCTTTGGCTTGGCCCCACCGCACTGAAGATTTTGCGGTTGTTCAACTCTTCTTTAATTTCGGCAACCGAAAAAAAAAAAAAAAAAAAAAAAAAAAAAAAACTCTTAAAATCTTTTATAATTATATCTGCACGTGTTTCATGTGAATAATACTAAATCTTACCAAGATGAATTTCAATGCCTTTGCAGTGGTTTGCCATATTTAAAGAAAGTTGCGATTGAGAACCGTTCCTATGTCACACTAGGGTTGAGTTTAGGTACACGTACGCATGACAATTTATTTTACTTTTTTTTTTTATAGATAAAAATGATATATTGTATTTATAATTCAGACACAAAGGTCTACGATCACAAAAACATGTACAAATACAGATAGCCATACAAGGTTATTATAAATATGGAAGTGCAATAATCATAAAAGGTTAATCCAAATACGAAGGACTACACCAACAATACCAAATGCACAAGTGTATCTCCACACATAGCCATAAATGACCAAAGAAGTTCCAACATAAAAATTACAAGTTTACAAAAGTCAAGCATAGACCGTGAGTTTTTTTTTAGGAGGGGGCTAGAGTTCCGTGAGTTTCCATTAAGCTATACAATTTTTTTAATTTTAATTATGCATCAAAACACTAGAATCAGATGATGAGGTTTTAAATACAATTTACAATTGTGTAGGTCGAATCTCATTTAATTTTAGGCTGAGCTAACCTAACCCACTATGTTTAATTACCACATCATAGATCCATGTTACATCATATATAAAATCATACTGATTTTTTTTTTTCGACAAAAAAATAATATTCAGTATGATTTTATATATGGGTTGTGTTTCTCATGACATGTTATATTTTCAACATCATCTATAAGTATTGGCGGATCCACAGCCACATAGATGCAAAGAGGTGCCCCTCACCGAAAAATGCTTTAGAGCAGTGGGGAAGCTAGGATTTCATGTGTGTGGGGGCCTCTTACAAATTATAAAGAATAAAAAATTCGAACTGACAATACATACAAAAAATAGTATATATATATACATATGTCAAGAATTATATTGCTTATTGGTTGCAATCATAATTGTCCTCGACAAAGGGATAGACAAATACATTCTAAGCAAGAAAAATTACAAGAGATAGACAAAGAGTAGCGGTTTAGCAAATATCTTTAAAGCTTTTCCCCCCATTAAACCCAATAGAAAGAAAAAATAAAATTTTCACAAACTAAAAAAACCTTAGGTCCCTTCATGCATTCATATCATACATAAAAAATGTTTTATGTAAAAATATTGACTAAGTATGAATTTTTTTTCTTTTGGAATAACCATTTTCTCAAGATAATTTTTGGCAGCTTTTATTCCTTACACATAAAATAAGAAAACTTGATTTTATGGGATTTTAGTATGAAGTATATATTGACTTAATGAACCATCATTTTTAGCATAAATCGTATTTTGCACTAAAACCTATTTTTCATTTTTTGATTAGGTGAGAATTTGATTTTTTTGTATTTTTATTTGAATCCAAATAGGGGGTACTTTCTTATTTACATTGTAAACTTCAGTAAATGGAGTAATATAAAATAAATGTAAGTAAAATGACAAATACCACCACCAGTTGAGCAAATAGGCAATTTGAAATAGTGGCTGGCCTTAATAGGTCAGTCACGACACATGTGGGTATATATCAAAACGTAAAGTATTTGAAATAATATACATATAGAAATACATAACAGTATTATTACTTTTAATTTATTTATTTATAAAAAAAAAAAAAAAAAAAAAAAAAAAAAAAAAAAAGTGTGGGGCCTAGGACCACACTAGTCCCGGTGTGGCTTCGGCTCTACTTTGGAGGTGGCAAAATTTGCCCCTCTAGTCTGACATGGAAGTGCCGACCAACCACTCGATGAAATGACTCAACAAAACTCCTTTATGTTTGTTGTGCCTGTGTTGCTAGGCTGCGAACATATCTTTTTTTGTTTTGGCTTTTTATTACAAATAGTCCATGAAGTTAACGAATTATTATCATTTCTTCCTTTTTAATTTTTTTTTTTTTTTTTTTTTTTTTTTTTTTTTTTTTTTTTTTTTTTTTGGTACATAAAAATTGTTTCTTTCTTCCTACGTTTAATTGTCCGCTACCGTTAGCTTCCCGTCAAATTTTATGTTAGAATGCTTACATGGCACATATGTAGAGCCCACACATCCATGGTTATTCGTTTTATTAGTCCCTGAACTTTGACCCAATTTGCATTTGAGTCCATCAATTTCTATAATTGTTCCCGTGGTCCTTCAACTTTAGTTTCATTAGGACAAATGGTCCTGCCGTCAATTTTGTTAACTTTTTCTGTTAAATGCATGGGTAAAACGGAATTTTTTTAGTATTTTTAATTTTCAATTTTTGAATATTCCTTTTACCCAAAAAGTAAAATTAAAAATTAGAAACTAAAAATTAAAAAATCTTATTCCTATCCTCAGTCAGACTAAAAATTAAAAATTAGTTCTTATTCCTAACAACTTGAATTTTTTTTCTAATTTTATTTTGTTTTAAATATTTTATTCATATTTTAATCAATTTAAAATAAAATAAAAATAAAAATACCATTTTACCACTGCATTTAACAGAAAAGTTAACAAAATTGACGGTAGGACCATTTGTCCTAATGAAACTAAAGTTGAAGGACCACGGAAATGATTTTGGAAATTGAGATACTCAAATACAAATCGGGTCTAAGTTCAAGGACTAATAAAACGAATAACCCCACACATTCAATTATATAAAGCCAAGTGGATTTAAATAAAAGATATCATAAACATTAAAATCCATTATATAAAAAAAAGGCCTAAAAAATTGAGGAAAAAGGAGATTAAAACTTCAATAAGTAAAAAAATTGAATCAATCCATCAATCTCTCTCTCTCTCTCTCTCTCTCTCTCTCAATAGTCTAAAATATCGATAATATCGACGAAATATTGAGGACATTATCATTTTTTCAGGTCACGGATATTTCAAAACGTATCCTTACACATATCGTATAAATATCGAAAAATATCAATGTTGATAATTTCACTCACACTTCAGTAATATTTTGTCAAAATATCGCTATAATATCAAAAATATCGAAAATATCAATGTAATGAAAAGAAGAAAAAAAAAACATAAAGCACACACGCAAAAGGGATTCGAACCCCTACCATTTCATTCCTCCAACGCCTTAACCACCATGTTGCTTAGGTTTTTTTTAATAATACGTAAAGGGGAACTCTATGTGGTACTAAGTCACTCACATATCTTACCATGCAATGTATAAAGTGTAAAATATTGAAGTAAATCATTATATATAAATGATTATGATGTGTTTAATCTTCTTTTATTAATTACTACATATTTTTTACACTTACAATGTTTGTCAGCTCGCTATATAATCAATTTAAATAAGTTAAACCCATCATGCAATGCATTTCCTTCCAATTTTTTGTATAAACTAATAGATAATTGACTAAATAAATATCCTCCAAAGTTTCAATAAAAATTTCCAAGTTTTTCTTACAATTTCCATGGTTTTTATTCAATTTTTATCGATATCAATAATATCCCGATATTTCCATTAAATTTTTTGTGTTTTTGGACTATCGATATTTTAGACTTTGCTCTCTTCCAAGAAAGAATCAAGAAAAGAAGATGGCAGGAAATACAAAATTGGTCACGAGCATTGAGTTGAGTGAGAGCAGAAGAAATGGCTTTTGCACTACGGGTGGGGCTGGTTGGGGGTTGGGGGTTCCAAGAAAGAATCAAGAAAAGAAGTTGGCAGGAAATACAAAACTGGCCACGAGCATTCAGTTGAGTGAGAGCAGAAGAAAGGGCTTTTGCACTGCGGGTGGGGCCGGTTGGGGTTTTGGGGTTGGTTTGGAGAGAGAGAGAGAGAGAGAGAGAGAGAGAGAGAGAGAGATGGCTGCAATTTTTTTTTAAATTGAAGTTTTTATTCTCCTTTATCTAATTTTTTATTTATTTATGAATTTTAATTTTTATGGTATCTTTTATTCAAAATCCACTTGGCTTTATATAATTGGATGTGTGGGCTCCATATATGCGCCATGTTAGCACTTTAACGAAAAATTTGACAGAAGCTAACTGTAGGCCCCAATTTGATGTATAAAGAGTCAGAATTTTAACATTCTTAATGTCACAAAAAAAAAAAAAAAAAAAAAAAAAAAAAAAAAAAAAAAAAAAAAAAAAAAACATAGGTGAAATAATTTTGCTAAACTTAGGGACCATTTAAAGTCTCTGTCCAAAACGCCATGACAAAAAAAAAAAGAAAAAAAGAAAGAAAGGTGAAACTTGTCATATGAAGCCTTACCTCCACCGTAGAACCTGCTGTCATCAATACAAAGAGGTAGGGATGGCAATAATAACCGTCGGGTCCCCAACCTTAACAGGGGGAGTTTTCGGGGGGAAATCAGGGCCGGGTACTGGGATCCCCGAATTTGCAAAATCCCCGACCGGGGATGGGTGACAGGACTCACCCCGAATTTCCCGAAACTCGAGACGAATCCTGTGGAAACCCCGGCATCACACCCATGCCGGGCCCACTCACTAATCTATAAACTCCTTTTTCAAGAAGGAGTAGGGGTACGAGACTTTCTGCCGAAATTTCGGCAGTCTCTCCTGAAAATTGAACATTCCCCAAAATTTCCACCTGCATGAACCACATTTTAATATCCCAACGGGCAGCATGCACAATATAATTTCACGCAATTCCAAAATAAATGGCCTCCGACCTTCTAATATTTCGCTAGCAATGTTCTTAAATCCAATTAATGCATTAAACAATGCATATAACCATCTCAAACTTATTTATAAACGCCCACTCTAATCAACATACGAGGATTTAACCTCCTAATATGTACACCTCTCGTTCTTACCTGAATCTCAGGACCAATGACAAGGTTCGAACCAAACTCAACAAAGTACCTAACTAAATCTAATCCGTGGCTGCACCTAGTAACTTCAGGCTGCCTACGTACCTTTTCTGAGGGATCAAGCCACACGTAGTTCTTTCACTAACACCCTCTACTAAGGGATCACAACTCACCAATCACAAACCTCAATTTATCTCCTAAAAACTCACATAATCTCCCCATACGCCGGAACATCCAAAGTCGCGTATAAGGCCTGTCTGCACGCCGGAAATAATCCTACGATACGTGGGACCTCATCATCATGTCTCACTGTCTGCTTTGGGCCTGGCTACATTCTCACTAGCCATCTAACTGTCCGCTATGGGCCTGGCTACATTCTCACCAGTCCGCACACAATCATATCTCCCCTCATATGTCGGGACGCACCCGGCCACGTATGAGGTCTGTCAACACGCCGGCTACTCCTACAACACGTGCGACCTCCCAAGTATCATAATAACTCCCCATACGGCGGGACGCACCCGGCCACGTATGGGGTCTGTCAACACGCCAGCTACTCCTACGACACGTGCGACCTCACAACACAATCACAATCACTCCACATACGACGGGACGCACCCGGCCTCGTATGGGGTCTGTCAACACGCCGGCTACTCCTACGACACGTGCGACCTCAACACAATCTCCTCTCATACGACGGGACGCACCCGGCCTCGTATGGGGTCTGTCAACACGCCGGCTACTCCTACGACACGTGCGACCTTACAACACACATAGGGTGGTACTTACAGTATCATCAATATCCTGGGGTACTTAGGGTAGTGCGTATAGCACTCCAAAATGACATTCTAACTCTTTTTATACTTTTATATCCCCACATAAAATATATATAATAATTTTCTAATACTGTAAACATCTCAACCAATATAGCATCTGATAAACCTCCCCAATTTATCACCATAAATTGATATCCTAATCCCACATAACCAACATACAATCAAGGTCTGTCACTACGACCATTTTAATCTTCCTAGGAAGGTAACACTACCTAGGAAGTCTCACGGTCAACCCAGGTCAAACTACCCAACCTTGGTCAACCTGGCCCGCGGGGCCCACGACCTCCAAATTTCAATCTGACAGTCCCTATAGGTTCTACAAGGTCTAGGACACACGTCCTGCAAGTTTGGTCCAGATCGGACGGTCGGATCGCTCACGATCGCACGATCGGACGGTTACTAAAACCTTAACCCTATGGTTGGCATTTCCGGAGTATCCGGGATTCCGTTTTACGATCCGTTGAATCCTACACGATCCTAAGGATGTCCAAATTAATCTATAACAAACTCAAGACCATCCAACGGTCGAAACCTAGCGAACCCGGATAATGCGCAATATGCGATATCCGTTCGGGACTCTAACGGTATCCAAATTGGGATCCGAGCACACCTACGCGCTCATGACAACCTGAGGATCCCATTGGGATGAAAATGCCCCTCAACTACTGTGCTCATGCGCCGCCACAGCGATAACCCATCGCCGGAAAAACCACAAATCACGGCTCAAGACTCCTACCTAGGTAAAACACCTTATTTGGAGTTACTTTTGTTCTTGGGCATACCCCAAAAATTGACCGGAAGTGGCCGGAATCGCGATCCCAAAATCGGCCGAATTTCAATTCGTAGATCGAGCTACTTAGCCTAAAAATTTATGAAATCCTACCCAACCATCAGCTAGATCATGCAGAAGGGATGAATTTTCATACCTTGATCGCCAAAAATGGCGGTCGGACGACGAAGAACGAAGCCGGAGAAGTTTTGGGCGAAATCTCGACGGTTGGCAGCAGGACCTGGATGGGGTAGGAAGAGGACGGCGGCCCGGTCATTTTGGTACCGGCCCCGTCAACTTTGGTGGCCGGACGAGAGCACGGCCGGCCAAAACGTGGCCGACTGTTTCAGCGGTCGCGAACCATAGGAGAGAGAGAGACGCGCAGGAGGAGAGAGAGAGAGAGAGAGAGAGAGAGAGAGAGAGGAGAGAGAGAGAGAGAGAGAGAGAGAGAGAGAGAGAGAGAGGTATTTTCGACTTTTTATCAAAAATCCCTTTTTCCAAATAATTACGATCGTGCCACTGAGTTTCATTCGATCGTTACTCTCTCGTTACAACTCCGATTCGAGCCCACTACGTGTCTACGGACTCATCTCACCGTGCTCTACGCAACGGTACATCCGGAATTCCCAAATTCCTTTTGGATAATAAATGACCAAATTACCCCTATTCCAAGGGTAAATTCGTAATTCCACTCAAATTAATTAAAACATTGGATAAATTTGGAGTTGGGGTGCTACAATGGGATTGTTATCCCCATCCCTGAACCCAGCCCGATAAGTAATATATTTATTTATAATCAATATATATTAATATAATATAATAAACAAAGTTACCCTAGAGACTAGATGGATTTATTGTGCTTACTGAAAAAGTTTCTAAAGATTTGGATAGAAATTATTTCAAGTTTTGTGTCCTCCTTCTTTGCCTTGTTGAGTTATTATTTTAACAAGAAATATCTTGTGGTGGTTGTTTTTAAAATTTCACAATGATGTGACTATGCTTTAGAAAATTATTTTAACAAGAAATATCTTATAAAAAATCGGGGATTGGGGCGGATATGGGAGGCACTTCCCTAATGGGGACGGGGACGGGGATTCCCCGAAAAGCCTAAACCGGGGATTGGGGCAGGGACGGGGATGGGGATGGGGAGCGGGGACAGGGATGGTATTGCCATACCCGGCCCCTAACTGGCCCATTGCCATCCCTACAAAGAGGAGTCCAAATTGCAATATGAATTGAATTAAAGAAGCCTCCTTGCGTTGAGGCTCTTGTAGCAGCTAGCAGTCCCAAATTCCAATCACAAGGTATTTTTGTTCTTTCTCCTTTGGTTTTTTATAATATGTTTTTTATTTTATTTTTCTGATTTAGCACTTTATGTAACAAACTCATGGAGGAAGAGGCTACGTGGGACACGATTCGACGTATGATCAATTATGATTTGTTTGTTTAATTGATAATTTGATATGCATTTTAATTAAATGAATTGATAATAATTTTTGTTAAATTAATTGATGATGTTATATGCATTTTATTCATATTAATTGATATCATATATAGACTATAGTCAATTAGTCATAGGCATAAGATCCTATTATAAAGTAGGCAGAGTATGAAAGTACCACTAAATATTGGGGTGGGATTATATTTGCTCTTGTGGTATTACACTGATATAATTTTCTCTCTCGGATAAAACTTTCTAACTCTCAGATTTCTCTCTCACTTTTCTCTTGGGATTGGTATTTATCAAAGCCTGAAGATTGTCTCTATTTATAGGCAGATGGTATATGCTTCAGAACCAGAACATTCACTCTACAACCACAATAATTGCTTCTTACTATTTATGAATAGTGACTAAGCCTATAAGTCTTCAACTTTCCGTAAAACATGATATTTAATTTCCAACATTGTTCCTCACTTTCAACTTGTGTACCATCCATTATTTACAACACTCTCCCTTGGATGCCCACAAGTCCCTTGTAAATAAAATTAAAACAAAAAAAATGGGGGGGGGGGGAAAAAAAAAAAAAAAAAAAAAAAAAAGGGAAAAGAGTACAAAAAAATTAAGGCATTAGACCAACGTTGACTCGCCCCCCTTATGTTGACTCATTAAAAACCTTTCTAGGAAAAATCCAATAGGGAAAAATTCTAAGTCGAAGGAAAAATAGTACAATGTGGATATATCCTGTGTTAGAGGACTCTTAAATGCTCCCCCTAATGAATATCTCCCCTTGATTTTGCATGCTTCAATTCGGTTGCTTGCAGAGTTGATGTAATCCAATACCATGCACTAGCTTTTGGAATGTACATTTTGGTAAAGATTTGGTGAAGAGGTCTGTCAGGTTATCGCTTGAACGGAATTGTCTGACTTTGATTTCTTGATTATTCTGAAGCTCATATGTGTAGAAAAACTTTGGTGATATGTGCTTGGTCCTATCACCTTTGATGTATCATCATTTGATCTAAGCAATGCAAGTTGCATTGTCTTCATTCAGGATGGTTGGAGTGTCTGTTGCTGAGGGTAAGGCATATGTGCTCCGGATGTGATGGATCACTGACCTTAACTAAATACATTCACGACTGGCTTCATGAAGGGCAGGTATTTCTAAGTGATTGGAAGATGGAGCAACCAACATTTGTTTTGTTGAGCGCCATAGATTGCAGTACCTCCACATGTAAACACATGCCTAGTTTGTGAGCAACCTTTATGCGGATAAGAGAGGTATCCTGCTTCAGCATATCCAAAAAGACTTGGCGCATCGGTAGATTCACTAGAATATGATAAGCCCATGTATGTTGTCCCACGAAGATATCGTCGAATATGTTTGATACCGGTCCAATGTCAATTTGTTGGGATAGAGCTGTATCTTGATAACAGATTTATTGAAAATACTATGTCTGGTCTAGTACATTGTGCTAAGTACAATAAAGCACCTATTGCAATAAGATATGGTACTTATGGACTAAGGATAATTTCATCATCCCCTTTTGGACGATATGGATCCTTCTTAGGGCCAGTTTAGGATTGCTGTCACTTTAAAAAAAAAATTCTTATGCTGTGCTTTGAAAATAATTAACTGTATAGTAAAGCAGCTCCATATTTGGTAAATAATTCTTTCAAAGTGATATTAGTACAAAAAGTTGTGGAAAAACCATTTAGTAGATTTTAGTATAAACTGTCGTAACTGTGAATAATGACTCAAGTAGATATGATGTTGAAAGTGTTATGCGTTAATTATGTGATGGTAGTGGAGGTGGTGAAAGAGATGGACGTAAAGATGGTGGTGAAAGAGGTGGTGGTGGAGGTGGTGGTTGTGGTCGTAGTGGTGGTGGGGATGACAATTGTGGAGGTGGAGGTGGTAATGGTGGTAGAGATGGCGGTTGTGGAGGTGGAAGTGGTGGAGGTGGTGCTTGAGGTGGAGATGGTGAAGGTGGAGGTGGTGGACGAGGCCTTTGTGTCAAGAGACCGAACGACCATTGGAGTTCTAAGTGGATGAGCCTTATCCAAAACATTCACTCTACAACCACAATAATTGCTTCTTACTGTTTGTAAATAGTGATTAAGCCTATAAGTCTTTAGCTTTCAGTAAAACATGATATTTAATTTCCAATATTGTTCATCACTTTCAACCTGTGGGTCATCCATCATTTATAACAGATCCTTATATGTTTTAATTTTATACTGTTATAGTTAAAAAAATGTTTAAATCCTCATTCGAATATTGCCCTTTTCCTGAAAAATTATTGATATACAATAATTTCAAATTTGAGTTTGAATAATAGTTCAAAATGATACTAAATCATGCAAACTGTTTCACAAGAAAATAATATTATAAAATGTTGATCTTGAGTGTAGATTTTGACAATGGGGTTGGTGTCTGGCCAAGAGAACCATAGCTTCTCTTTTTTATTCTTTTGTGATACTCTTCGTTGGTGGATAGATTGTGGGCTGATTTGAAATGGGCCATTGAATCCCTGCAAGCTATCCCTGTACGATGCAGCATGAGTAAATGGGTTGGGTTCCTGATACTGAAAACTTGAGTTCAGTTTACAAGAAGCCAGCCTATGGCCTTACCATTGAGTTGGGAAAATTTTGAATCCGTTTGTTATTTCCTCATTAGTTTTCAGTCTGGTTTAACATTTATGAGAGTATAGCCATTCAAGTTTGATTTTTCAAAATTTTCCATTGAACTCAAAACATAGACGAGAGATGACAAAAACCTACTGTGCCTGGATTTTTCCAGTTTTCACTCTGTCATGTCATGTGGCTAATGTATAGAGATTATAAAAATTCACACCTACGTACAATTTTATTTCCTTGGATGAAAGAAAACAAGCATAGAAACAATTGTAGAAATTAACAGAGATATGTATATACTACATATATGTATGACCAAAACTATTCATTCTCATTTCATTTCACCTTTTTCGCCTTGCACAAAATTGAAACATAACACAAGCTAGCTGCATTATCCCTATTTATTAACATACAAAACTCCAACTAAACTCATCGGTTGATAAATCAATCATGCACAACCAGCTTCTGATATTCTTCTCCAGAGATAGCTAATTCCATGAATTCATCTGGTCGGATTTCCCCATCGTTGTCCATGAAGAGCTTCAGCAAGTTCTTAGAGAAGCCACTCAACAGAGCCACCCCGGGCTGATTCCCGGGCACCGGTGTAGACCTCGAGTTCCTCAGATTCCAAAACACCAGCTGTGGGATCACATTCCCATAACCATGCTCCCTAAACTTATTCTGTATCACGTCATAATCAGTCTCCCAGCTGTTGGCCGAAGCCTCATCAAACTCCATGTCGCTGAACACAAACACCCTCTTGATCATATTCTCCGGCTTCAAATTCCCCTTCACCGCAACCCTCAGCAGCAAATCAAACACCTTCTGAAAATCAGTGTTCGTTCCCCAATCCATATCCCTCACAAACTGGCACTTGGTCTTCAGATCATCCCCTTTCACCAAATGCAGCTGAGGATTCCCACTGAATGTGATCACCAGCCCCTTCCACGGGTCCTCACTCAGCTCAGACACCAACAGCCCCAACGATATCGCCACCTCCATGGGGGTCCCACACATGCTACCGGACACGTCACACACCGCCAAGCAGTTCTTCATCTTCCCCAACTTCAACATGTCCTCCACCATTCTCTTCCATTGAAGCTCAGCCACTTCCCCGACGTCGCCTTCCTCCACAGACCCAATAATCTCATGGGGAAGCAGAGCACCGGCCGCCATCTTCGCCTTGCCGGCCTTCACGTCCTCCAAGTACTTCTTGAACCTCTCCTCGTCGTGCTTCAGGAAGAACCGTTTGTAATTCTTCATGGCCACTGACGCCACTCTGTTGTACGGAAGCGAACCCCACTGCTTCGCGCCCATATAAACCTCCGGCAACTCCAGCACCTTCCTCAGCGGCACCAGAACCTCTTTCCTGAGCCGATCTCTCACTCTGTAAGCGTAATGGGTTTCCTCCATGCCTTCGTATTCCTTGTACGATTCGCGCGGGAACACCTTTCTAGCAATGCTCTCGCAGATTAGAGTGGCTCGATCGAACGAAGAGTCAATTGAAGGGCACCACTTGGCCGCGAGGCTGATCTTGTGGCTCTGATTCGACTTCAAATTCTCCATATCGGCCTTCAACAACTCGGCGAAAAGATCCGAAACCCTCTCGTGCAAGAATCGGAAATCCGGGTCGGATCCATACCTGGCAACCGCCTTCTTGGCCATGGCGATCTTCTTCTCCTTCCTCAACACGCTTGCCTTTTCCTTTTCCGATTTTACCCACTCCTTCGCCTTCGCTTCATTTTCCTCCTCCGACATGTCCTTTTTGGCGGCTTTTTTCTCTCCTCCGGTCTTGATTTTCTTGAACGGAACGGCTTCGGGGCTCAAGTCACAGCCCAACCTCTGTTTCCTCCTGCCGCCGGCGGATTTTCTTTCCTTCAACGCATCCTTATGTTTCCTCCGCACGTCCTCGCCTTCTAGAAGGCGGTAGAGAATCTCGGGCAGGTCCTTGAAATAACCGAAGTCCGCAAAGGACCTGAGATTGCATGCGAGGGTTTTGGGGTGGTGGTTGTGGAGCCAAACCGCCGCCGTGTGGAAGTTTTCCTTGTCAGACTTTCCGGTGCCACGTACGCCGCGGAGGTTGCAGATGAGCTTGAGCGTGGTCGGCGCGCTGTGGCTCCAGGCCAGCGGGAGCTGGTTGTTGACGTAGTCGGCGGGGGTGTCCGGCACCACGTGGAAGAAGAAATCGAGGCAGGGGTTGCCGGTGGAGAGATAGGTGGCGGAATTATTCTCGGTCAAGCCCATCGGGAGTTTGTTGTCCATCGCTATGTCGTTGAAATTGGAGACCATGAGGTCAACGAAGGGTTCGCCGGTGGCGGGTTCGGGTTTGGGGTCGGGTACGGGTTGAGATTGGGGCGATGAGGTGTGGGTGGGATTGGTGAGCTCTGGAGGACCGAGAAGACTGGGAGGAGCCATGGTTGCGAGGTGTGAGAAATTGTGATTGAGTGAGCAGAGGAAGGACGATATTAGGCGACTGAGGCGGATCTATAGGATGGCAGTTACTTGGGTTCCAAACATAGTGTTCATCGCTTCTGATTTTTCTTTTTCTTTTTCATTTTCGAGACAATATATTTGTGCCGAGTCCATTTTCGAGACTCAGACTCAGGCGCCTTTTTTAGTGCTTTGTATTTTTTTCCTTTTTCTGATAAATTGGATTTGAAATTAAATAAAGAAAAGGAAAGCATCTTAAAATAAGGAATTTTCGTACCGAAAAGGAAAAAACAGCTCAACCCACGACTGTTTCTTGCTTATGTGGATTGTCCACACGCGGCAAGCCAAGAATCAGAACGTGGATTGCTTAGGAATTACCTGATTCATATATAAACTATTTAAATTTATCTACTGTGTGATTCGTTATGCTCACAACCACCAATTACTTTTTTTGTTGTTGATAAATATCACAAGATGTCCCTGTACCCGATGGGTGGAATTAATCTCTGTTTGAAATTTGACTTGTCTTTGATCACAAAGCAACAATTACTAAGTTGGTAAGAAATGTTATCGACAAAGTTTGTCATTTGTCAATGCCTGAATTGAGCTAGTCATAGTCGATCTCCTAATCCTAACCGATGATCAGCCTGCCATACTTGTAATATTTTCAAACTTTATTTTCTTTCTTAAAGAGCCAGAAACAAAGAGAAAGATAAAGCCAGCTAGGTCGGCATTAGTAAGGAAATGGGCAACAAAATGGGTTTCACGTGGAGTGTTGTTGATGGCTAATCCAAAGCTTTTCTCCCATACCTTAAACCAGCTCAAGTTCAATTTTCAAACCAGCGTGCATGCCAAGAATCAGAATGGGCTTTTGACAAAGGCAACCCTTCATCACCAAATCTACTCAACTCATGCATAAAGCAAGCCTCAAATGTAAAAAAGGTTTTGGGATCCTATTCGATCAAAGTTGCACCACACTTGACATAGCCATAAAATTGTATCTACTTGCTTCTCAGTTTAATTTATTGAGAATAACACAAGCTGCGTTTAACGACATACAGACTGGTTGAATTTTAGTCTTGGAGGTTTGTAAGAAATCAAGAGCAAAACAGAAACCAAGAATACAATGGCAGCAGCAGAGCAGGCTATTACTATGCATATCTAGAAGCAGCAGCGCTCCAACAAGCAGCAGCAGCAAAGTGCAGCCAAACTGCGAATTGTAACCAACGAGGGGGAGATATCAGATGATAAACAAAACAAACGGCATATATTCACTTGCAATCCAATGTTTGATGTTACATGCAACTATTGACTTAACTTGATGATAATGAGGAGATTCGAAACAGGAAATATACAATCAATTGGATGAAAAATAGAAACTTGGATTGGATTGGACCCCATGAACATAAACATAAACATAAACAATAGATATTAATAGGGATATATAATAGATAGAAAGCAGAGACATACATACCAGCTTCTAAAGAGAGAATCGCAGGCATAGTCATCTTGGTGGTAGTGGTGGTATGGGTGGAGGGGAGGTGGGGCAGCTGATGGTGGGGGTTGGTACCCTTCATAGAAGTAACCCTGATATCCATATTCCTGTGGCGGAGGAGATGGATTTGGGAACCCTGGCCGTGGAGGTGGAGGTGGAAAGTCCGGCGGCTGAGGATACTCTTGTGGGTACCCTGAAAATTCATAGTCACACACCCAACACAAATGATTATTATTGGATAATTAAACAAATCTAAAATTGGGGGAAATTTACAATTGTATTATAAATGGCTTGCCTGGTGGGGGATGATGCTCATGTTGAACATGGATATGTTGGTAACTCATTGTTCTTTTGCCTTATCCGATGATCTCGCTGACTTCTGTGGTTATGCGTTGTTGAGTGCTCTGCTCGAATGAAATATTAAACCCTTGTTCTCTCCAAAGTTTCTTTGAAGTGTCAGTGCTGCATTGGGGAGGAGGACACCTGGCGGGAACGTAGCTATGTCAGCGTCGACAACCATGCATTAATTTTCTTTGGAAGGATCGATATAAACAACTTGGCATACAACATGCTTATCAACTTTATGAGGTTACTTAAAGCTTATTACTTTGGGAAAGAAAAAAAAAGAAGAAATTCACAAGAGAAAAGTTATGGATAAATGCAAGCTCCTCGGAATAATGTAGATTATTACAAATGCTTTTATGACGGTCAGTCGGTGACAAGGTTAGACTAATTATCCTTATGAAGCTTCTTGATTTTTGTCCTGACCGCAACAACTGGTCAATCGAGCCAAGCGAGAGCTTGTAATTCTGCCGCTAGCTTCCTGAATAAACACAACACTTTGCTTCGCTGCAAAGGCAAAGGCAAAGGCATTCACATAACAGAGCCGTGTGTCACTTCTTCAGATACTCTTGAAATTCCTGAACCTTCCACTCTATAAAAACACATTTTATCTCTCAACGGATAATATACACAAGAAAACAAAGCAAAAGAAAGAAGAAAACCCATCATTTATCAGCTCATCAAAGTCACTAACCATGGCAGGCATACCAGAAGAAACACACCCCCATAACCAATCATCTCAAGCAGCCAAAGACCCAGAATCCAATTCTCCATCCCTTGCCACTGTTACTGATCATCAGGACCTACAGACGCCTCAGCAACCACCGCCACCACATTCATCTTCATCATCTCCAGCAGAGGAGGAAGACACCAAGAAATATGGGACCCACATCATGGGAGCCCCAGCAGCCCCAAATGCCCACCCAGACAACCAGAGAGCCGCCCAATGGAAAGCATCTGATCACCAGCAAATTCACCACCCCCAGCAGCCCTATGTCCAGTGCGCTCCCGTAAACAAGCCCAGCAACAACCCTTTTGAGCCTGCGATCCACGTGTTCAATTCCTGGAGCGCCAAGGCCGAGACCATAGCCAGAAACATCTGGCACAACCTCAAAACAGGGCCCTCTGTTTCTGAAGCTGCCTGGGGGAAGGTCAACTTGACGGCAAAAGCCATAACTGAAGGTGGATTTGAGTCTCTATTTAAGCAGATTTTCGCGACTGATCCAAACGAGAAGCTCAAGAAGACCTTCGCCTGCTACCTTTCCAGTTCCACAGGTCCTGTCGCTGGCACTCTGTATCTCTCAACTGCCAGGCTTGCTTTCTGCAGCGATCGTCCTTTAACTTTCACTACCCCATCTGGACAAGCAGCTTGGAGCTACTACAAGGTAAATAACACTGAATTAAATGAACCCTTTTGAGAAAATTGATGGAAGTAATTTGTATTGACTGGAAATCTGTGTTCTTGAACAGGTAATGATACCTTTGGCAAATATAGGTACAGTGAACCCTGTGGTCATGAAAGAGAGTCCACCAGAAAAGTACATTCAGATTGTCACCATAGATGGCCATGAATTCTGGTTTATGGGATTTATTAATTTCGAAAAGGCATCCCATCACCTCTTAGACAGTGTCTCAGATTTCAGAGCAGCTGGGAATTCTGCGCAACCGGTTGTTGGCTAGAGCTTGAAGATGAATTTTCCTTTTGGATCCTCAGGATCATGATCATCATCTTCCTTTGAGTTTTGATTTTCAGAGTTTTGGTTTTGTTGATTTGTTTGTAGGATTATGGTTTAGTTGAATCTGTAATTCATTGTATTCTGTCCTTTGCTTCCGTGTGTTCTATGTGTTTGTAAATTGTAACCTTTGTTTCAGATATCTACACATATTATATTTTTTAGTGTAAATTAATGTTTTAAATATTATAAGTTCAAATTGAGTTTGCATACTTACACTAACTTTACTTGTCAGAACTCCAACTGAAGGTTCTCGTTTGGAAGTGATTTTTGATTTTGGATGGGTAAAGCTCTATTGAGGCTATGGTTCTTTTCTGGTAAAACAATGAGGTTATTGCCCATATATACTAAATTGTAAATTAATGTTTCAATATTATAAGTTCAAATTGAGCTGGATGCCTATTCCACTAGTGTTACACGTACAAGTACAACTTTGAAATGAACTTAAAATATAGGATTACAATTGCAAACATGAAAGTGTCAAACAAGAAAGCCTTCCCCTTCATCATGTAAAGCATGCACTTGTCTTCATAATGTGCATCTACAGGTTCAATTTTCCAGTAATACTGCAACACTACTGCAGGACATCTCAAATCAATCTATATCAAAAGCAAAATAAATAAAGATCAGATGCATCTAAGGGCCTAATTACAGCATGCGTCCAATATCCAGCAGCAACAAATTGCAGCCAAACTGCAAATGCAACACGAGAGGTTGGGATCAGTGAAAGTGGTGGGAGAAGAACCAAGGAAGCCAAAAAGTAATTTTAATTATTGTCCTAATTTTTTTAGAGAAAATAGAAAAAGAACAAAAAGTAAAACACACATTTATTCAATTCAAGCCAAATATGATGATCAAATCAAACAATTAAAGAGCTTGTGGTAACAGAAAGATATGGAGAACATGCACATACCAGCCTCTGAGGACTGAACAGCAGTTTGGTTCACCATCCTCTTGGTGTGAAGGGGGCGGGGGTGGAGTTGGGTTTGGCGGCGGCGGCGGATAATAGTAACCCTGATAGCCAGGTGGTGGTGGGGGGCTTGGAGGAGGAGGGTAGTCTGGCGGCGGCGGGGGAGGGGGCGGCGGCGGCGGCGCATACTCTGGCGGAGGCAAGGAACATGTATTTGTCAAAACAAGCAATTAGTACATATAACATGAACCAGAAGGGTGGTTAAAGAAAATGTGGTTGGTGACTTGATCACTTGCCTGGCGGGGGTGGGGGTGGAGGCTCACCAGGAACAGGCCTGTAACTCATTGCTCTGCTTTTCGACTTCAATTGTAGCTTAGTGCAAAGGCTAGAAACCCAGAACAGAGAAGAGGGTTATGTCTGTTAGCTGTATATATAAACTATATAATTGACTACCCGCTGAGTAAGTGGAAATCATGTGGAACATGCTTTTCTCATTTCCATCGAGTTTTGGCTTCATTTTAGTATTATAATTTTAATTGATCTTCCCATAAAAATTCGAGCGATAAGTTAACCAAAACAAAGTCTATAAACAAAAAGTTAACCTCCATGTAAGTTCCACCTGCCATTCTAGAAGTAGAAGGTTACCTAACAGTCCACCCTTTACCAATTTAGAGAAGAAGGAAAGAAAACCCAAAGAGAAACAGGAGCTTACTGCTTACCTGAGGGTCAGCACTCCATCCACCATTCAAGACAGCTGAAGGAAGTTGAGCAAAACCCCTCATCAAAATTATAAATCATAAACTTATTAGGTGCTGTGCAGATTGATAATTTTGAAAAAACCTGGGATATCACCTCCTAAACCTTGTGTCAGATTTCAAAGCCATTGAGAATGCACTGCAAGTCTGCAACTAATTGTCACAGATTTCTTGTAATTCAAATATCCTCTTTTTAGAATGTTATAAATTTGGATTGAGATTACATGTGCATATCGTAGAGGTTAGGTACTTTTGTATGTTCTCTACTTCAAAAAGAGATGAATAGAAAACAAAAAACTCAGAGAGACTGTTAAGATATGAAATAGCTGTAAATATTTGTTTCCTTGTCCAGATAGTCAATTGCTTTAATTTAGGACCAATATAAGTTTATCATATGTAGCCTACGCTTCCTCTTCATATCCTTTATCGTCAGAGTTGTATAGATATAGACAGTGGCAGATCTAGGATCCGTAACTCAAGGGGTCACAATGTAAAAGTTCTAAAAAAAATTTAGAGAGTTTTCCATTTTTCTTAGGGAGCTTCACTAATATACCCAAAATAGGGGCTAAAATTATATAAAAAACCTCACATAGAATGCACTTTAAAAATACACCAAAAACTCATTTACTACATAAGAAATTGGTGTTTAAGTTTCTATAAATTACGTGATTGCCATTAATCAACTTAAAAAAGAAGTCAAACACAAAAAATTTAAATAGCACCCAAAACAAACCTAGCCCAATTTTATAAAAAAAACCCAAACAATTCATTACAAACAAACCGTTTTGAAAACCATAGCTTCATTAATGTGTCATGTTGATCAATGACTGTAATATTCTACACATTTACTGTCATGTTGATTAATGACTGTAATGTTCCAGTTTAGGGTAATAACACTGCTATTTTCCTATGACATCCTATTTCTAATGCATGTTTACCCCTTGTAATGTTCCAGTCTAGGGTAATAACATTGCTAGTTTACTGTCATGTTGATTAATGACTGTAATGTTCCATTCTAAGGTAATAACATTGCTAGTTTCCTATGAAATCCTATTTCTAATGCATGTCTACCTCCTGTAATGTTCTAGTCTAGGGTAATAATACTGCTAGCTTCCTATGACATCCTATTTCTAGGGTAATAATACTGCTAGCTTCCTATGACATCCTATTTCTAATGCATGTCTACTCCTGTAATGTTCTAGTCTAGGGTAATAACACTGCTAGTTTCACATGACATCCTATTTCTAATGCACGTCTACCTTTGTAATGTTTCAGTATAGGGTAATAACATTTCTAGTTTCCTATGATATCCTATTTCTAATGCATCTATACCTTTGTAATGTTCCAGTCTAGGGTAATAACATTGCTAGTTTGCGGTCATGTTGATTAATGGCTGTAATGTTCCAATATAGGGTAATAACACTGCTATTTTCCTATGACATCCTATTTCTAATGCATGTCTACTCCCTGTAATGTTCTAGTCTATGGTAATAACACTTCTAGTTTCCTATGACATCCTATTTCTAATGCATGTATACCTTTGTAATGTTCAAGTCTAGGGTAATAACATTGTTAGTTTATTGTCATGTTGATTAATGACTGTAATGTTCCAGTTTAGGGTAATAACATTGCTAGTTTCCTATGAAATCCTATTTATAATGCATGTCTATTCTTTGTAATGTTCAAATCTAGGGTAATAACAATGTTAGCTTCCTATGACATCCTATTTCTAATACATGTCTACCCCTGTAATGTTCTAGTCTAGGATAATAACATTGCTAGTTTTATATGACATTCTATTTCTAATGCATGTCTACTTTTGTTATGTTTCAGTTTAGGGTAATAACACTGCTAGTTTACTATCATGTTGATTAATGCTTGTCATGTTGCTATTTCTAATACATGTCCAACAAAGAAAAGATGAAGAAAAAACAAACCGGACCAACTCAAAATAAGTTGAGCCCAAATTGTTAATACTATTATGTCATAGAAGTACGTTGTTAATACTCTGTAATAGAAGTACATTGTTAATACTCTGTCATAGAAGTACATTGTTAAACAAAAATAAGATCCATAACTGAAATAATAATAAAAGATAAATCGATCATCAAATCTTAAAATACATTTCGAAAATCAACAAAAATCTGAAGAGAAACACATAATTGAAGCAAAAGATCAAAAATCTCAAGTCCAAACCAAACAACGACGACGACAATGATGACGACGACGTGGCGAAGAGGAGTAGAGCTAATAACATTTTCTCAAGGTTCGTTTGAGGTCTTGAACAATCCGAAAAGAAAAAAAAATCAATAGAAGCACAATTTTAGAACAAGAAATCAAAGGTGAAATATTGAAAATTGTAGATTAAAGATGAAGAATATAGTTGGACTTGAGACTAAGCTTCAATAGAAGCTCCTCTTGCTCCAACACCAAAGAAAGCATCAACAAGAAAGGAGAAAATAAATCTGATTTGGTTTTTTGGCAGATCTGTGCAGATATGTTTTTTTGGCAAATCTGATTTTTTTCTCTCAAATCCATAATACAAGGGCAATATAGGTATTTAACACACACAAATAAACTAAAAAACAGCTATTAAATTTAAAAAAATTGACAGAGGTTTTTTTTTGGGTGTGTTTATAGTTTTTAAATAGTATAGGGTTTCCTTATAAGACTATGTTTAAGATTGGGTATATAACTAAATTTCTATTTTTCTTATCTATTTTTTCTCTTTCAAATTCTCCGTATTCTTGGGGTTCCAATCGTGATATTACATAATAAAAGATAACTTATGGATTATAAATTATTTTAATCAAACATGCCAACAACAAAATAAATAAAACTACAAAAGTGGTATCCTACGAGTCTTTAAAAGCATTAAATTCTTCAGTGAAACTATAACCTACGAGTCTTTCTACGTGTTTGTAAAACTTGCACCAGTTCAGCAAAGTCTTGATTTTTTCGGTTTGATTGTTTGAGGAGCTTATGCAATTCTGCAACTTTAGCCTTCAAGGATGCGACTTGTGCAGTGAATGAAGCACATTCTTGATTCCTTGCTAGCAGACGCAATCCTAAATTTGTCACTGAAGCAGCATTGCGAGCATTGAGAAATTGGGTCTTCCTCCTTGCCATTTCATTATGCAAGTGCATACTTGATAGCATTTCATGTGATGTTCCCTGGGTTAAAGGAGGAGCAAGAGATAAATTCAAATATGAGGTGCTTTTAGGAATTAAGGGGAATTCTAATAAGCCTATATTTTATGCCTAATTTACTTATTTATTTGTTAATTTATTTGGATTAAATTGGTTGTTTTAATTGGTTTTGTGAGATTTGTGAAGGAATTGTGAAATATGAGAAATTGAGGTAAAAAAGGGCAAGAAGATGAAGATTGGTTAAAAAGAAGCCAAGTCATTCCTTTTGTGCAAGGAATGTTTTCAAATTTCCTAGTTCAAGATGGTTCAAGTCTTATCAAGTCAAACAAGGAGAAATAAAGAAGACCTTAGATTGGAAGGAATCTTATTTTTATAATAATTGTAATTATACCTTAGATATGTAGGATTTCTAAGAGTATTATAAATAGGGAGTTTCGGTCATTGATCAAATCCTCCATTATCCATCATCCTCCATCCCTCCACCATCAAATTCCTACATATTCATACTTATAGCCGAAACACTCAAAGGAGAATACGAAGAGAGCTTGTGCAACCTTGGCGTTCTACTTGGAAAATTTGGTGTCTTCCATGTCTTTATCAACCATCATGATTCTCAATAAATCCTTCATGAACTAATTTCTTTTACTAGGGATACAATGTAGCCTAGCTATGGACACTCAAATTCTTTGATATTGTTAGTTTTATTTATCTATACATGTTGAGTGATTGTTACCGTTCTTAGTGCTTTCAATTAATTGGTCACTAAGTGCATGATTGGAAGAATTGGGTTGAGATTGGAAGGAGATTCCTAATAAAAAGCTTCTAGTAACAAATACCATAAATTACATAGTCGACTCGGAAGATTAGGTTATGGTTTGTGTAATCTTCATTGTTTTCCACAAATCTTAATGGGTTCTTAGCTATCTAAATCCATAATTAGGAATAGAGTGGGTTGATGGTAAGGAATACAACTAATATAACTTATAAGAGAGTATTGGTGAGGTAAGGGAAAACGATTATCAACATGTTAGGTAATTTGAGTTAACAAGCTAGAAGGATTTGGGTGGGATTAGCTAGGTGAAATCGATGCCCTATTACTTTATCATCTTTGTTTTCATCTTTTACATTATTTACTTAATCTCAATTTATTTTACTTGCTTAATTAGATTTTAATCATCATAATTCTCTTATCGTTTAATTCGAATATAATTAGAAATAAATCACTCTAGTATGTGATAGATTAACTTTATCCATGTTGGAACGATACTCTATTTACTATTATACTAATTTGAGCGATATTGTCCACTTGCAATTAATCACATCAAATTCCATTTTGTTTTCATATTTCTTGGTAAGTAAATTTAGGTTTTCTGAGTTGTGATTCTTTTCTCCCCTTATTTTCTTTTATAGATGTCCATTATGACACCCGTTTCTCAAGCTACACACCCGTAATTTATGGCTTTCCACCTCGAGCTACACACCCATAATTTCTTATTTTCTACCTTGAGTTACACAACCGTGTTTTCTGGCTTTTCACCTCGACCCACTTAATTAGAAAAAAAAAAAAGACACTGAGTAGAGAAGATAGATCCATCTTCTTTATTTTTAAAATTATTTTTTCTATTCTCTCTTTATTTCCTTTTATTTAATATTTCCCCTCTTTTCTCTCTCTCTCTCTCTCTCTCTCTCTCTTATATTTTTCTTCTTCCCCCTCCCCCCCCCCCCCCCCCCCAAATTTTTTTTTAATTCTTTCTCTCTCTCTTTGTTTCTTTCTTCCTAGCCTCCCCCACCACTCCCCTGCTACTAACTAAACGAACAGGATTTCATTATTCCATTATTTCACAAGAACAAATAAAGAAGAGCAACGCGAAATTACAAAGGAAAAAAATATTAATTGTTCCTTGAGGTTGGTTTGGCTTTTGCATCAGTGCACAATTGAAAAACAAGTGGTCTATTGATTCCATGGCAGACCAACATAAGACACAGACAGGCTGAGACTTTCGTCGAGCACTTGGTGTACACACAAGGGGTCGCTCTACAGCTGTCCAAGGGGTCGTCCATGGAGTCCACAACCAAATTTCAGGCATTCCAAGGGGTTGTTAGACCTTTCTTGTCCTAAAGTACATCCGTCTTTGGTGCTATGGTCTACAATTGATGGATTTGAGAAGTTTTAGGGCTTTGGACATTGTTGACGTCTTTAGCCATGGCTAGGATGAGATGGACGTAGATGCATTAGACATACTTGGTAATGCTGGGCTATTAGGGTCACATCCTTACTGGGTTAAAGCAAGCGTCACGAAATTGGTTCACCAAATTCACTGGTGCTCTTAAAAATGCCGAATTCACTCAGTCTATGGCAGATTACTCACTCTTTAAAAAGTCTGCTAATAACTCTTTTACAATTATATTGATTTATGTGGATCACATTGTTATTACAGGAAATGATCCAAAGGTCATTCAGTCACTCAAGGATTTTCTCCATACATACTTCCACATTAAAGACCTTGGAAACTTAAATATTTTTTGGGCATTGAGGTTGCACGATCAAAGGAGGGAATTTTTATTTCACAACGCAAGTATGCACTAGACATACTTGGTAATGCTGGGCTATTGGGGTCACATCCTTACTCTTTCCCTATGGAGTAGACTTTGAAACTCAAGCTCACTAATGGAAAGATTTTATAGGATCCTTCCAGGTATAGATGACTCGTAGGCCGCCTCATTTACCTCACAGTAACAAGACCTAGTATTACTTTTGATGTGCACGCCCTTAGTCAATTTATGCATGAGCCGCACCAACCTCGTCTTGATGCAGCCCTTCGCATATTGCGTTATCTAAAGGAAGCTCTAGGACAAGGCATTATATTCCCTGCACAAAATAATCTCAAGCTAAGAACCTTTTGTGACTCAAATTGGGTGAGTTCTCCCATTACCAAAAGATTAGTAACAGGCTATTGCATTTTTCTAGGTAATTCCTTGATTTCTTGGAAGACCAAAAAAACATAATAATGTGGCACGCTCATCCACAGAAGCAGAATATCAGTCCATGGCAGATGCGTGTTGTGAGCTCAAATGGTTACGATTTATACTGCAAGATCTTGGCATTGAGCATTTAGAATAAGCAATCTTGCATTGTGATAATCAATTAGCCCTATATTGTGCTAACAATCCTGTGTTTCACGGACGAACCAAACATATTGATCTTGATTGTCACCTAGTTCGACAAAATATTCAATCTGGCCTAGTGTCCACTACCTATACACCTACCGCTCTACAAGTTGCAGATATTTTCACCAAGCCTAGGCAAGACTTTTTTTAGCACTCTCTTAGGCAAGTTGGGAGTCTACAATATACACTCTCCAACTTGAGAGGGAGTGTTAAAATATGAAATAGTTGTAAATATTTGTTTCCTTGTTTAGATAGTCAATTGCTTTAATCTAGGACTAATATAAGTTTACCGTATGTAGCCTATGCTTCCTCTTTATATCATTGTATCATCAGAGTTGTATAGATATAGAAATATATCAAATACCAAGTTTTACAAAGACAACATTACAACATTCTCTAATCAACTGCACATTCTTAAATTTTAATAATGCATATCTACATTTTCCCATGCCAGCTCTTCAGAATATGAACGTTGGCTTTATTGATGCACCAAACCTTAGTTGTAATAACAAGCATATTTGTTGATTTCCAAAACCGAATTCAACTTAGATAGGAGAATTGTGGAGTCTTCAGTAGGATTAAGGGGTTATGGACCTTCGGCAAAGGGCACCTCCAGTCATAAGGCTATCTTGCAAAAGAATGATGGAAGAAGCAATCGTCAAGCTTCGGGTACCGGTGTGGTACTTGCCGAAGGCTTTTCAATGCTTAAGTCAGCAAGTGCGGGGTACACAGTAATTTTGACAGAGTAATAGTAAATGTGAAAATTAGTTACTTTTTACCTGGGTACTATTCCTTTTTTATAGAGGAATTGGGGTGAAAATTTGCACAAAGTTTCAATGTGGGACTTTGTGCAAATCACTGTGGTAGTGACACGTGTCCAAGGCTTAGGTTCTACCATTTGGAGCTTCGGTAGTCGCCTTCAGTAAGCTACTGCCACATTGGAAGAAGTTATCTTTGGTAGTTTAGATTATGATGACGTTATCAGCTTTTATGGATTTCTCAGAAGTGTCTTACTATTAGCAGGTTGTGAATCTGTCGGCGCTTCAGCCCCTTAATGACGAATGTGCTCAGTTGATTATGGTACAAACAGTAGTCCCCCAAGTTGCTAATTAAGAAGTGGTTTCCGGGTTGGGAACTTGTAAAATGTCAAATAATCAAACCAAGAGATTTGGCATGGCGGATGCCTATATGCAGTCTCACAATCCCACAATCCCCTATGTTTGCAAGCTAGGAGTCACTTCGGCATGGAGGTAACTAAGCATGGTTTGAGAATCAAATTTGAGATGGATGGTGACGTAATAGGTATGTCGTATGTCGAAGGGTGAGGTGATCCAGTTTGGGTTTGATACGGGCTATGTGAACGATCGTCAAGGTGCTTGCTGATTATCAAGTATGATGTCATGCGGGTACACGAGCATCTCCTGCCTGATTCACATGGTGCTTGTCAATAAATAAGGATGACGTCATGTAAGGGATGTGCATGAGTTCTGCATGATCGACATGATGCTTTCCAATCAACAGGTGTGACACACATGTCGTGCTTGAGTCCCTTGCGCAATTGGTATGGTGCTTCCTGATTGGTAGGGGTGAGGTCACTCACTTGTCATGCGAGAGCCGCTTGCACGATCGACATGGTGCTTGCCAATCGGCATGTGTGACGTCATGCACGTGTTGTGCTTGAGTCCCTTGAGATATCAGTATGATGCCTCCTGATTTGTAGTGGTGACGTCACGCACTTGTCCTGCAAAAGTCCCCTGCATGATTAGCACGATGCTTCCGATCAGCAGAAGTTAATGTCATGCGCTTGTCGTGCCACGTGTCAATATTATTCTGACTGATGGGATTCAAATAGGCTTCGTTTGGGTTTCGTTAGTGTAGAAATTGAGGTGTTAGTGGGGGCAATTGAGATGTAATAATGGCGATGGTTCATAAGTCGAGACGTCGGTATGGTTGGCATCTATAAAATGGTTTTGCATGGAAGAAGGAAAAGCACTTAGCGTTTTTTAGTTGTTTGGAGAGAATAGGAACATGCGATTTTTGACAAAACTTTCAGTGAGCAAGGGCAATTCCCAATCAGAGAATTCACGGCGAAGGTGATTTCCGATGAAGGTCTATACGACGGTGATGATTTCATGCAAATTTTGCGGCGGCAAAAACAAGGTATTTTCTCTTTTTTGCCCTTTTTTTAATAATTGAAATGCACCTTTGATTTGAATTTTTGCATGAACTTTTGAATTGATGCATGAATATTTGAAGGGGCCATGGCGTGGCTTCGTCTAGAGAGGCTGATGGTTGCGATGTCTCTTATCCTTAAGGAGGCAGACCTTTTCAAGCAATAGTCGCATAGCCGGGTTGGCATGAGGCAAGTTGTCGAGTGCCAGAGATTGGTGGTGTCGAGGGGGGGTGATGGATAGGCTTTCCATTCCTTAAAATGTTGTCGAATGGTAGGGCTCCCAATCCTCTAGGTCATAAGGTTCCTAATCTTCAGAATCACCAACCTCTTCTGAAGCAGTGAGACATTTGGGCTTTGCTAGAGGGCCAAGATGTGAGACATGTGGGTCGTCAAGGTCCACGGGAACTTGAATGGGTTTTAGCCGAAGCTCAGAGATGCGATGCTGACAATCCTTATACACCTTGATTGTTTCAGGATGAAAGTGGCCTTTGCCTTTGTCAGGCTGAGGTTAAGTTGAGGCGCTGCGAAGAGAGATGATTGGGTGGTGTGATATGGTATGCTCAACACTTTGAGTAATGTCATGTTAGGCTACCTATTAGCGAGTGTTCTCCCAATTGCGCTTCAAGGCACGTCAGTCGTGCTCCATTTCAGCATTTTGAGTGTGAATGTGATCACACTCTTGTGACATCGGCATGAAGGCGTGCCATTTTTGCAAGAAGATTGGCATCGACAGAATGTCTTCGTTTGGAGGACTCTACATAGGGAGTGTTATGCTGAGTGCCAAGGCTAGCTTCACTCGGCATGATGAAATATGATGGGCTAAAGAGACGAAGAGGTCTGGTGGGTAAAGGGGCCAGTAGGGCTGAGAGAGATGTGAGATTTAGAAGTCGTTTCCCACAGACTGTGGCAATCTGTTGATGTCCAAAATTGGATTCAACTTAGATAGGAGAAGTGTGAAGTCTTCAACTGGACTAGGGGTTATGGACCTTCGGCAAAAAGGACATTTGATCATAAAGTTATCTTTGTTGGGGCCAAAATTCTGCACACCTAGCCCAAAGCTAAAAGTCCAGACTAGTGAAAACAGACTTCAGGACCCGAGCAGTTTGAAATTTGCATTTAATCTGAAATCAAAAGCCCAGCTTAGGACCTACCAAACCACAAGGATAAAACTTAGGCTTCGAGAAAACCCAAAATTGGGCTTGGCATGGTCAAGTAAAGAAAGATGAGCCAAAAAAGAAACAAACCCACGTGATCTCCTGACTTGGAAAAGTCAGCAATTTCAACTAGGTAGATAAAAGAGTTAATAAAAGGGCAGATATAAAAGTAGGACATCTCTGAAATCTCAACCACCGGAAAATCAAAATCCCTTTTTATATTCAGAGATATTTTTTGCTCCAAAGAATGCACCATTTTCAAGAGATAAGCAGACTACGTTTTGGAAGAAGCAGTGAGTTGTTCAAACTGGAAAATCAAACTAACCATCACAGTTTGAGTTCTAACAAAAGCAATTAAATTGGAAGAAGGGTTAGGTTTTCTTTCAAGAAATACAGGGAAGTGATTGCCTTAGAACTGACTATTGAGGGTTTATTTGCCAGAATTGATAAAACCACTTTTTTCTTTGCATTTAAAAAATGAAAGATCTTTTTGAGAATTTTGCCTCCCATTATTAAAGTATTAAAAGCCCCACTCTAAAAAAACACTTCTTATAAATATAGAAGAGGGTGAACAGAGAAAAGGACAGCCAAAAAAATCAATCAAAGATAAAACTCAAAATGATCACTTGATCTCAAAAACCTTCAGACAAACTGAAGGAACCAAAAGCTCATTGAGTCACAAGAAAGAAGCGAGCTATAAATCAAAACTTCCAATTCCAATTTAGACTTAGAGAAATAAGTCATTCAAAATGAGATTTTCCTCGTTACAAATTTGGTTCAGCAAAAGCCAAATCAAGCAGAGCTTGGGTTTTACAAATATGAAAACCTCAACAAATTTATGGAGATCCTTGATCAAGCAGAACATATACCACAGTGTAGTTCCAGCTCAATAATCCTCAAGTCCAGCCACTTATGCCCCTTTCAGACTGAAAAGGCCGCAATTCTGCACGTTCAAAAATCTTCCAGGGCTTGAAATAGATTAAAGCTCTGCCAAACTCGAACATTGGCATCGATTTACAGCCGAAACTTAACAGTTGAAGCTGTTGACAGTCTAGTCCAGCATAGGCACACCCAGTCCAGCCTGGATCAGAAGCTTATATGTAGGCAAAAATGGAAGTCCAACCTTCTTTTTGTCTTTCTAGAGTTGGATTTTCCCTTTTGAGTTTTGTAAAAGGCACTTTTGCCTAAAACAGTTCATTATCTTATCATTTATTCTGGCCAGAACTAACAGTTTTTATACTATGAAAAATTGTGAAGTCCTCACCAGTTTGAGGCAAGAAAAGAACTTACTTTGGAGATATTCCTCACCCAAATTCACAATCGCTTGTTTAGAAATTAGTAAATTGGGGCGCAAGTTATCTATTCTTAAGAAGTCTGCTATGATTTTTCATTGCTAGCAGTGGCACGCTCGCACACTAAAGAAAGTTGACTTGTTGACCAGTCAATGGTTTTCAAGGCAATGGGGAACTTTACCCTACCATCACAGGAACAAACATAAAACGGGTGAACAATCTTGCAGAAGAAAGATCGAAAAAGCAATCGTCAAGCTTTGGGTACAAGTGTGGTACCTGCCGAAGGCTCTTCGATGCTTAAGTCAACAAGTGTCGAGTACACAATAATTTTGACAGAGTAACAATAAAGGTGAAAAGTAGTTACATTTTTACCTGGGCACTATTCCATTTTATAGAGGAATGGGGGTGAAAATTTGCACAAAGTTCCAATATGGGACTTCGTGTAAATCATTGTGGTAGTGACACATGTCCAAGGCTTAAGTTATGCCATTTGGATCTTCGACAGGCTACTGCCGCATCAGAAGAAGATGTGTTTGGTAGATGAGATTATGATGATGTCATTAATTTTTAAGGATTTCTCAAAATTGTCTTGCCTTCGGCAGGCTGTGGATCTGTCTGTGTGCTAGTCCCCCATTGCCGAATATACGCGGTTGATTATGGTACAAACAATATCAGTTGAGCTTGTTCATTCATTTGATGTTTAATATGACATCAATCAATAGTATTGTAATATTATATTATTAGGCCTAGCTGATTGTTTGTTAACTGCCCTTTACTCTAAAGTTCTCATTTTTCTCTTACAAAAATGAGATAAACAAATAATATACAAAACTTATATAAACTCTTAGAGCATTCACAATGGTGGTGTGTAAATTTAGGGGTGTGAAGCCACTTTTACATCTTTTTTACACCTTCGAAGAATGTAAATGTGATTTTTGCTCCAATGGAGAATATGTAAATCCAAATATGTTTCTTGCGTTTTTTTTTTTTTTTTTTTTTTTTTTTTTTTTTTTTTTTTTTTTTTTTTTTTTTTCCTTTTTTTTTTTTTTTTTTTAAATTTAAAATTTTAAATATTTTGAGTGTGTTATTTTATTTTTTCCAAACAAGTGGACTTAAAAAATTTCAATTCGAAGAAGATATGATTTCATTGGATGAAAATAAATCTTCATCGTTCAATTTGAAAGAATAAATGAGGACCATTGGATGAAAAGAGCCATTGAAACTTTTTTTTCAATGCAATTAAATTTGGGCCATTGATTAAAAAAATATTATTGACTACTCATTTGGTGACAGTTGGAGGATGCATTCAGCCATTTTGTACTTTTTCTGGAGAGTATTCTTCTACTTGCGCGTACATGGTGAGTGACTGAACATTTTTAGCAACTCTTCTCTCTCCTCTCTCCTAATTTCTTGCTTGTGGGGTCCGCAAAATGGTTGTAAAAATTGATGTAAATTAGCATCTTTTATACAAATTAGGTGGCCAATGTAAATATACAAGCATTTACATCCTCCCACTGTAGCAACTTCCTGTGGCAATAAGTGTAAATTTAGTATACGTTCACCTTTACACACTACCAATGTGGATGCTCTTAGGAAGGAAAAAAAATACATCAGTGGCCATCCTAGGTCATGTGCCCCCTTTGGCCCTAGTATTATAGTTTAATGAAATTTGACATATTTTGTGACTTAGATGCAACACATTCGATCAACTCATGTAAATCTTTACAATAGAGTCATGCTTAATTTCCCCGTCACAAATGGTTGAGTTTGATCATGGTGCTATCACCTTTTTCCGGGGGATTTAACATGGTTCGATACCTTAACTACATCTGCCATCAAATTCTCCATTATGTCAAACAATATGAACAACAACAAAATCTAACTAAATGATGTAGAAGAGATCAGTGGCGAAGCCAGGATTTCATGTGTGTGGGGGCCTCTTACAAAATATAAAGAATAAAAAATTCGAACTCATAATACATACAAAAAATAGTGTATATATATCACATATGTCAAGAATTATGTCGCTTATTGGTTGCAATCATAATTATTCTCGACAAAGGGATAGACAAATACATTCTAAGCAAGAAAAATTGCAAGAGATAGACACAGAGTAGCGATTTAGCAAATATCTTTAAAGCTTTTTCCCCATTAAATCCAATAGAAAGGAAAAAAAATCAAAATTTCCCAAATTAAAAACAACCTTAGGCCCCTTTATGCATTCATATCATACATGAAAAAATATTGACTAAGTATGAAAAATGGTTTTTCGGAATAATCATTTTCTCAAGATAATTTTTGGCGGCTTTTATTCCTTACACATGAAATAAGAAAACTTGATTTTATTGGATTTTAGTATGAAGTATATATTGACTTAATGAGCCATCATTTTTAGCCTAAATCGTATTTTACACTAAAACCGATTTTTCATATTTTGACTTGGTGAGAATTTGATTTTCTAGTATTTTTATTTGAATTCAAATAGGGGGTGCTTCCTTATTTACATTGTAAACTTAAGTAAATGGAGTAATATAAAAATAAATTAAAGTCAAAGGACAAAGACATTTACTTAAATGTTAAAAATGGAAATAAGGTAATCTGTACACCTGGAGTGCATCACCACTAGCTGAGCAAGGGCGCAATTTGAACTACCTCCTTGTGCCTTAATAAATCCGCCACAATACATGTGGGTACATATCAAAACATAAAGTATTTAAAAT